AGATTATTTGCAGTGGATAAGAATCCATGAAAAGCAAAATACGTTCGTTGTGTCCCATAGAACATTCATTTTCCATCTATTACATATTATCAAGTGAAGGAACCGTATAGCTGATTGTTTTTTTTTTCTTGTTTATTTTCATTACGATGACACTCATGATTAGTCATTATCCCTTATCTCAAATGTTGACAAAATACGATAGAGAGTGGAAGTGGAATTTTGATTGTTATGGGGAAAAAAAGTAATATAATTTGAATTCCTGTTAAAAGCATTAACTATAAGCTATTGCAAGTGGTTACCTGTTAGTTTGCGTCAAACTATAACCTTTTATAGATTCATTGGCTTTCCTTCACAACTGAATTAATGGGTTATACTGTTTAAAGCGTTTAGTCCCTGTTCAAAAAGTGTGTGAATGATAAAAATGATTCGAAATAATCTTTATAAACTTGTCTCAAGAGTATATGTACCTCTGATAGAGACGAACAAAATGCTACAATCATTGTTGTTAGTTAACTGGTAAATGTTGAGCTTACTCCATCACCCCCACTTAATCATCTACATCATATAGCAGTCAGTATAATAGTTTGCTTGTGGCTGTAATGAATATTGACGAAATATACCCATTTATTCATTAACAAGAACAAGGCATATATCAGCAATGTATGTGATGAATATACCTTCTCTTGGTTTATGAAAATGATTGAATCCCTCTAATGATCAAATTTTTCAGATATATACATGTGAGTAACAAAACATAAATGGAGAGACTTTTTCAGCTGTTTTCATCTTTCACTTGTCACCTGTTATACATCAAGAGTCAGAATGGTTTGGTTTATAGCAACCAAGCTAAAGTTGTAGATCATATGAATCTGGTCATCACTAAGAATAGCAGTATAAAATTCATTTCTGATAAAATAAATGAGAATTTAAAGTGTTTTTTTTTAATAATAAGATTATTCAACTTGTATTATAACTGGTTAAAACTATCATCATTAAAATTTGTTGTTTACTTTTGTTCTTGAAAAGAGCACGATTCAAGAAGCTTACTTTAAATATTGCAGAGAAAAAAAAGTTTTAATTAATTTACTTTTTCATGAATCCCTAATTTTAAATCTCCACTCTATCACTTTAAATTAATTAGCTGATTTAATTTATAGTTCAATAAAGCAAAATAAGTTAGTCATCATTTTTTTTTTCTGTGGATATGGTGTTTAGTTACCTTTTAAATGAGATATAAAAACTCTGTCACGAATAAATGCTACTTTTAATGTACAAATTTATGGACACTTTTAGTTGACTAAACAATGACTACAACAAACTACTTTTGTATTTATGATAGACAGTGGCTATCAATGGAATCCAAAATGCGCGTTTCGTCCTACTTAGGACTCGCTAGATGGATGTGACTGCATTTTAGTGAGTGATGTTGATCCCAATAAGACTCTAACTCGAGACTAATCTCTTTACATGTTTTTTTTCTGTGATTTTGCTGAATTACCAATGGTCAACTTGAAAAATTCACACGTTTGTTTAAAGTCAAGTGAACCAATTTCTACACTGAATCTTAGTAAAGAAGACTATTATAAATAAAACAAATTATTATAATTCTCTTCTTTGGGATTATGATAAGTAGAACTCATGTGTGATATGACCTAGTGATTTTAACATAATATAATGTTTATCTACTGTTACTGTCAAAAGTTACAAGGTAATGATGACTGGTTCTCCAGTTATCTCCTCTTTCGCTTCTAGAAACGACAGGTTAGTAAAGGGCGTCTTGAAAATTATGTCCTATGCTTTTCCTTATGGTTTTCTAGAACAAACAGTTAAGTTATCTGAGTAAGAATAACACCTTTATAGAGGGACAATTAAAAGGCAAGGTGTGCCAGGTTTGGAACAGATAAGTTGTAGGCTTTGCAGCCATCTAGAAATGATATTTTTCTTGTTCTAGATGCTGAAGAAGACATGGTTAGGAAGCTGGAAGTTTCAACTTTTTCCCGATCCTAGCGGCACATAACATCATATAACCACAATCTATACCACCTACGGGCCTTCGTTTTCTGATGCTGTCATCTGTCGCCTCTTGGAACCTTGTTTCTTTCATGATTTCATCAAATTTTTACTCCTGAACTATTACTGAACAATGCAGACGCTGAAAAGTAATGACAGTATACTGATCAGATTTCAACCTGTAAATAGACTTTGAACAGCAGCTATGCTTCCTGACAAGTTTACTAGTTTGTTTGAATTGTATACTGTGCGTAACTAACTCGGTTAAGGGATTTTTTAGTAGAGCTCAAATGTAAACAGAGTTTAGGTTGAGCAAATTATATTGTTTCAGGTTCCCAGGTTAAACGCTTGCAAACGTATAATAACTTACAAGGTTCCGCCACCTGAGGTCATATCAGTACTTTGACTTTGGTAAATATTCCTTGCTAATAGATTAAATTAGGATGCTGAAGACTTTTAATCACAGGTGTCTTGTTAGTATGTGTGTGACCCAGCTCTTTACTACAAATCAGACTGATGATAATAGCGTCACTGGAAAATAGGCAAATATATAATAATCCCCGTAAAATATTTCGAAAAAAAATCATCCGAGTTAACTCATTTCACAAAATATATGAAATGGACCAACCCGATGAAATTTAAATTAAATGCAGCTACTTCTTAAACCCATGAGTTCAAGTTGAATGCAGGAAAACATTATCACCCCTAAGTCATACTTCATTTTATTTGTAAAAAAGCTTCATATATATGCTGCATAAGGCATAAGGCATCGTTTTTCAACGCTTGATTAGATACACCAAGGATTACTGTTTGCATGACAATTCAGAAAATGTCTTTGAAGTCAAAATGCTTTCCTGACTCATTAATTTACGCTGTTTTGATCAGCCATTTATAATGTGGTTTAGATGTTCGCATAATCTATAAGTTTGTATGGATAATGCCTGATATAGTCACATAGGCGATATCTTCAAATGACTCCAGTAACGATATATCATTCATTGTTTTGCTACATGTGATACGCAGTGACATAACGTCGTGAGTGATATAAAATGTCGATTGACTTCTGATCGTCAGTTTAAATCACCACAAAACATGAATCATCAGTTAATCGAAAAAAGATAGAAAGAATATCCATAAGGTTTTGTTATTTGTGGCAATCACTTAAAAAATATTGTTGTCCATTTTTGGACTATCTCATTCCCGACTAACTTTGGGAGACATTCAATGCCGAAAGTAAAGCTAGAGAATCAGTTTCCAGTCAAACAGCCAAACAAACAGAAAAAAGAAAAGAAAGTCAATGTTTTTTATCATCACAGTATTAATTTATGTGTAGCTAAAATATTTCCGAAATTCTTTTGGGAATATATTCTCATCATTTTCCCTAATCTTGTTTTCAAAATGGTTGGGGAATGAGACAGAATTTATTGTTTCTGTGCAGGAATGAAAAATCTACTTCATTCGATATACCGACTGGTAGGGATAAAAGAGTACGAAGGTTATGCTGAAAAGTATCTTATTATTACTGGTAAATAATAGGTAATTGGCAGCATGTACTGCTAGGCACCTGTTTCATAGCTTTGAATTTCTTTCAACGCACGTTAGTTACATATTCAAGTGTACTTCAATAATAGATACAAAAAGGACCACCAGAGGTCAGCTGCTATCCGAGTTCTTCATTGGTAACGTTACTGACTAGGTGATGTGTGTTTGAATCACTAAGGGGATAACAGTTCCTTCAAGGTGGCACACACAACTTGTTGACGAGTATAAACAGGCATAAAACCTAGGTTCAGAGCTTTGTTGCGGTTCCTTTCAACCGAATTACATAAGAATGAATGAAACCTAGATTCAGGACTCCCTACTAAACACCTAATTCTACCCACAAACGACATTTAACCTGGTTCATTAATCTAACTAACGAAGCAAAATAAACTGTGTACCGATGAACTCGAGCAATCAAACAGTCAGCACACATTTGGAAACGACCTTCAAGACGTTAAATATAAAACAAAACAACAACTTCTCATCTAAGAGGAGAACTTAGACACCATAGCAGTTGTATGATTTCATAATAAGTTGTTACTTGGATATTTCAAGCCATGAAATAGTTCTAAAGTGCTCAGATAATTCCTCTCTGTTTCCGTACATTTAGGAAAGCTAATTATGGTTTCCATTACAGATTGTTTTTCAGCTAATCAGCTTATAAGAGGAGAATTCTGATTTCCAATACGGATTAGTATTTCACTTATTTCTCAAAAAGCCAAATAACTAAACAAATACCCAATGTAAGCATACTACGACGTGAAATATTTTGAGAAATAAAATAAATTCAGGAAATTTATCACTTAAGTCAAAATCATCAGTGTTGGCTAGTTTTATAACTTACTTGTTTGTGGCTAGCAGAGGAATCCAAGATTTGCGTTTCTTGCCGTCTAGGGCCTGTCAGCTGGATTCACCTGCACTGCAGTGAGTGATGTTGTTCCCACGGACAGAGGTTGATGAATTCTATCCAGTATAACAACGGAGAATTACAAGTATATTAACAAACATCTGGTTAGTTTGTTTGCTAATGTAACTAATAGTCTAAATATAATAATCTACTGATGATGGATAGTGACTAGCAGTGGAACACAGGATGCGCATTTCGTCCTAGCTGGGACTTGCCAGCTGGATATACATGCCTACCAAAGAGTGATGTTGTATTCGCCCGGACTCGAACTCGGGACCAACAGCTTCAAACATCTAAGCTCCTTGCAGTAGACCAGCGAGCCACAATAGCCACTTCTTGTGCGATGGGTAAAGTTTTAGTGCTATTGCAACAACAGTAATCATCTATTGTACTAATTTTTACTATTTTAGCATTAAACAACCTGATATTCAGTTATTCAGGGAGAAGCGTAAGATGGTTTTTCTCAATTGACAGTTTTTCTATGATTATGACATCAAATAGCATTGATTTCCATCGTTTTATTTTGTCCCTTTTTTAACAGAGCTGGCCAAAAACTTGCCATTACAAACAGTTCTAAACGAAAGCGTAAATCACCTCATAATGATATCAGTGATGTGAGTCATTTAACTGGACATCCTACATCACCGTCATATCGTCATAGTCAACATTCAAAATGTATCACAGGATTTTCGGAAGCAATGCATCATTACCCACCTCCGATGCCTCCAACTCTTTTAAAATGGGGTCGAAATGGTTCCAACAATGCTGCATTAAACAATAGAGTGGGAAAGTAAGTAAACAAGTAGAAAAACGTGAGGTTTTAGTGTTCTGAGAAAAACTAATATATGTGATCATCTTGCTGATCAATAATGGCATATATTTTATGGATCATTCTAAAATTTGGACAACCAGTAATTTTAACTTCTTGCGAAGATATTTGGCTAATAATGGTAATAAACACACACACTGATCCTATGAAACTATATGAAACAGTAGCTAATGGTGTTTGTTAATTAAAGTTACTTTAGTTAGTCATCTCTCGAAACTAATTAATCTACTGAATAAAGTTTTTTTCAGTATAACTAATGGTGTTTTCCGAAGCGCTGGAAGGGCTTAACTGAATACCATATAATTAAATAAGTTATTCAAAAATAATTTTGTGAAAACATTACTTTCTGCCAATAAATTCTTAGAAAATACATAGGGAGGATGTTCAGCATCAAAAACGTCACATATTCATTTTGCAGCTTATCTGAAAATTCTTAAATACGCAAAGTTCGATAGTCGATAGTTGGTAATACAAATAATAATAATAATTGGCTTTTCATTTCTGAATAGATTTTACCTTCAAATAACCAAGAGTTAAATGTATCACTGGATAGTAGATGTCAGGAGACATCCTTGCAATTACGATTGATGAGAAATATTGGAAGTATATTCATTATAAATGAATCATGCTTGCAGACAATAGAGTTATGTAACTGTAACTTGGATGAATTTATTTCAAACATTTAGGTGAATGTTTAAACGCTGTTTATATTATATATTAACGACGGATAGTGATTAGCAGTGAAATCCAGGATGCCTGTTTCGTTCTACTTGGGACTGGTTAGCTGAATATCCCTGAATCCTCCTAAAGGGTGATGTCCGGACTGGAACTGGAACCCGGTATGCAGTGCTTCAAACGCTAGACTTTTGGACACTATAGCCACTTCTTGTGCAATGGGTATGGTTTTGATTTTATCAGTTGTATTATCCGGACGTTGACTTAACCGAATCGATTAGTTTTTATCGACTCCTAAGCGGATGTCATGCGTCCTGAATTCTACTCCTAGCCACTACCTATCACTAAAATATAACCGAAACACAGGAAATATCGAAAAAGCTACGCAGGAGCCCCTTGGCTATTACAGACCGATAAATTCGATACAATCTACTGTGGGATAATGAAAAGGACAACATTATAATGTTTTGTATTTGTTTGGAAATGAAAATGAAACTTCTTATTCTATCTGTAAATGGTTATTCATCTCATTCAGAAAATTTTTAGTATGGTTTGGTAAAATCTTTAGGTTTGCCATCATTTCTGTGTCTGAAAGTTTTTTATCCTCATAGTAAACTGATAACAGATTATGATACTATGCAACGCTTACCATTTTAACTTCCAGAGGAAAACTTAACCTTCATTTCTATGAGTTTTCTTTGCAGCGAATTTGAAAGACTTTCTTTTTAATAAGCATTTGGTTTATCAATATTGAAAAAGCAAAATAATGTATGTCTTCTTGACCTTCATACGATTTTTCATTTTCCTGGAAATTTCAATGACTTTCCACAAAAGCAAACTAAAAGCATACCTCGAGGCATTGCCTATTTTTAGTGACATAGAAAGGAATATTGATACCTTCTTTGGCATAAACCTTCGTTTGACTGTCTCTCGTGGATAACAATGTATTATACATTCACGTAACACCTAGGGAAAACCGTTGGTAACTGATATGCAGTTAAAACCAAGTCAGTCTCCGAGCCTCCTAGTTGAGATAGCAAACATCTTGTTTGCAATATTGTTGCTAGCAGTTTGAATCCTAACTTGACGCAACTTCTTCAACTCACCTACAGCCATCACTTGGTATTAACTTACAGTCTTGAAATAAAAATCTGAATAATTTTAGCTGCATCACTTATCTGTAGTGATGGTAATCGTAAACGCTTTGTGTGCAAAATATTGTCTTTAGCTATGCCTTGTCTTAACTAATTACTGGATGATTTTAAGTTGGAATTCACCATTGACTGACGCCAGTTAGAGGACCATTAGAAACCTGGGACCACTGGGTGGTTGCTTCGTCCTGGTATGGGACTCCTCAGCAGCACACACCCCCGACATTTCCCGCCTGGGCCAGAACCCAAGACTTTCAGGTTCTGTGGCCAGCACTTCATTACTAAGTCAGTGAGTTGGGGTCCAGTCGTTCATATTTTCTAATTCTATTGGTTCATGATACAGCACGACCTACGTCCAATGTTGTCGTTGAGAAACTGTCCTCATGTCCGACTTGGTTGATTCCACTGGTCACAACTTCTCATTGAAACTTTGGGAATCACCTCTGGAAGCTAGTCACCAACGAGCGCTGGATTAACTATATCTGGAGGTTTATAGAGGTTTCCTAAGTGATTTTAGGTTATGAGTGCACACTGCTGAGTAGTCCCATACGAGGACGAAACAGCTGTCCAGTGCTCCCAGGTTTCCAATGTTCCTCTAACTGATGTCAGTCCATGATGAATTCCGACTTAAAATCAGTTAAAAAGCCTCCACAAACCCCCAGATAGACTTAACAATTGCCTATTTTACTCTACTCATGATTTTCACTCATCAATCCAAACAAATTAATTCAACGGTGGCTTTGAATTTGGCTTCCATCTGTTTCACTGTATGGCTTATCTGTTAAATCAATCAAAAATATATCGTATCAACACATATTTTGCAACATTATTTTTTCAATATTTAATTTCCTCCCGCAAGTATGTTTGGAAGCATGAGTTTGTGAATTAAATGGAATTTATTTTCAAGGTTCTTTTGTCTTAACCATAAAATGATATTCAGCTAGAAATCTTTGGTGAATGAATCCTTTAAAGCATTTTATTTCAACTTAATATTTATAGGTTAAAGTAATATTACAATTGCAGTCTGATCATGAAGTGGATAAAGATTCTCAGAAGATTTCTTGTTTAACAGTAGAAAAACGCAAAAACCAAGTTTGTTTGAATGATCCAAATCTTAGTGCAACTGATACATCTACCTCTCCAAAGCGTACAAATATACACGGTCCAAAACTCTTCGCAATGGATGCAATTTTTACTGAAGAAGATTCAATGGTAAGATGGTTTGCTTATTTACCAACAAAAAGTATCTGTTTTAAGTCGATCAATTAAGCGTTTTTGTCTGTAAGGGTGTTCATCAGTAAAAAAACTCGTTGAAGTTTCATTTATTCTTCAATGCCAAAAATCGTTCGAACATAGCATCGCGAGACTGTTAGGTGAGTACTTATTAAAAATAAATGAAAAGTTTCTAATATAGCTAGTAGTGATTGTCGGTTCCATCTAGCTTGGATTCAGGTCAACTTAATTATGTTTGCTGCAAATGTATTGTTCTTCTGATCCCCAGTTTTAGTCCAGGTAGTATTAGGTCAGTAGAAAGTTTAGAGCCGTTAGATTAAATGTGACTGAAATCTATATTCTTGTTTTGATACTTGTAATTTCCCTTTAGTATACTAGATTGATGTGCCCAATCTCTGTTGGAAGGTAGGTGTTCACATAAGAGCCTATATGCTAACTGAAACCGGCTAGTTCTACCCAGTATAACAACGGGAAATCACAAGTATCAATCCAACAACTGATAACTGTCGTACAAGAGGTGACTCTAACTCCAATGGCTTAGTGGATAAAACTTTGACGTTTGAAGCGATGAATACTGGATTTGTGTTACAGTGGAAACAATATAACTCACTAAGGTGCTGGTAAATCTAGCTGACGAGTCTCAAACAGAACGAAACGAACGTCCTAGATCCACCGCTAGTTGCCAAGGCGTGTGTCATCTATATTCACTAAAATATGATTTCGGTTGTATAGGCTAATTCAGCCGAATAGATTACTGAACACAATATGCTAAAAAAATGATCGTCCAAGACCCATTTTGACAAAACTGGTGATCAATGTTTAATGTTATAGACTTATGTACTACTTATCTTCATGAAAAATGTAAATAACTTTAATCATTCAATAATCTATTACTGCTGTTATAATTTTCTTCTTAATTATCATGAATTTCTTAAGTATTTTCTGTTTTCCTATTCTGTATTATAACGAAATTAACATATTTAATGTATAAGCATACACTTGAAGTTCTATAAAACATGTACGTCTGTGCAAATTCTGGCCAAATATTTTATGATAGAGTTCTTATGCAGCAGAGTGACGTAAATGAATCTTTTCTTTATGACCTCCTTTTATTGATCTATTTATGTATGAGTGAGATAGACAAGTTACTCTTATCAATAAACCAAGTTAAAGTGATATCATTTCTTGTCAGATAACTACAAAACAGTTTGATTCCTCATTTTCATCCTAGAAAACTATACATTCCTATAGAGATTCTGAAAAACAGACTAAAAAAAATTGAAAGTGATCAATATAATTAAGTGTAAATCTATTATATTAAAGGAATTTTCCTTGTGGGATTTTACTTTAAATTCTTTCTTTTCTAACTATTATCGTTTTCATTTAGGCGGAATTATGTGCCTATGCTTTAACTGACATTATTCAATCTGTAGTGAATGGATCAGATGGTTGTCTGATTTCTTTTGGCACACGTGATTCAAGTAAGCAGAAATAGTTATTTAATTTTTTTGATAGTGAAACCTAATATATTTTACATATTTCATCAATGTTCTATGTGTATTTTGTATGAAAAAATGGTTTATTTTTATAAGTATTATTACTGAGACATGCTGATATATGAATAAACTAAACGTCTACTTATTATCTATACTACCCACCAAAGTTGTTTTGATAAACACTATGTGCAAAAATTATTAATAACTGGCAAAAATTCTTTTTTCTATCATTATTGAATGAAATTGAGCGACAGTAATAAAGGAATACTGTAGGTAAGAAAGTGAATATTTTCCTCGAAATTCGTCTGACCAATGTTTTGTCGGCTGATGGAGTCTTGAAACCTTTTGTATTTTGCCTTTGATACATGTTCAATCTCTTGATAAAGTGATTACTGTATTGCATCTGAAACTCAAAGTTGTATTGTTTCTTAGTAGAATAAACTAGGATCATCATTTGTGCATATATTTATAATGACATATATTCAACATCTTGAGGCTATACTTTGATCAAAAAAGTTGTTATGTAACACTAAATATATCCCACTAGGTTTTATGAGACTATTTGACTTGCAGAATTTCTTCATACTTTAAAATTTTTTAGCAAAGTGTATGTAATCTGTAATGAATGGAACTCATATTGTCCGGATGAAAAAAAGTATCTGTTGAGTCTGAAATGTACCAATGATATGAATTCAGTTCTGAAATTTTGGGAATTTTATTGGTTCCAAGTTGACATTCATTATGAACTGACAACGGCTGCAGAACTATACTCATACTTCTGTTTGTTTACAGTATAGCAAGACCACTAGATTCTGACTTAGTAGCTCAATCATAGAGTGCTTGCCACAAGATATGAAGATCCTAGGTTCGATCCCTGGAGGGATCATAGGCGCCTTCTGCTAAGAGGTCTCACGATAGAACACTATACTTGTCAAGCATCCTTAGGTATTAATTGGTTCCCCAACTAATGTTAGTCCGCGGAAGAATGCCAACTTGACTTCAGTGAACCTGTCAACCTGAAAAAAATGTAATTCCTATCACTGTGAATATGGATCCTTGTGATAAAACTGATAATGATAACAGGAAAGCATTTAACTTGACTACCGTTTTTGACAGGAATATCATCGTATCATGAAACTTCTCTTTTATGCGTCACTCATAAATTTGACAAAATTATGCTCTTATCATCATATAATAGAGCACAAAAATCTTTCACATTGAGTTCGGATGTGAGTTAATCATACTTAACTAAGAAAAAAGTCAATTTAAGGAAGAAAGTTATCGTTTTGACGACAACATTTATCACTTCTATGCAACTGCATTTACTAGTATCGAAAATCTATAACGGTCTACTTTTTGTACTGAGTGACGATCGAATGTGACAGGAGTGGAATCAGTGACCACTAGGTTTTTAGCTCAGTGCTCTATCAACTGAACTACGAGACTCCACCGCTGTCCCGCTGGTCAGTGGTTCGAGTGCTACCGTAACCCACATTTTAATCTCACCTTCAATCATTACCCAGCATCAATACAAGTTCATGGAGCCACGGCTATTTCAAATAGTCATACTGCTAGCCTATTTTTTGTCAGTACGGTTATGTGATTACCCTGATGTTCAAAAGTAAGGAAAAAAATTTTAAGGGCGATGAAATCAGGAAATAATGCACTCTTCCTACTAACCGTTAAGGTTGAATGCACTGTTCCCAAAGACAGATTTCTACTGTATTTTTGAACTGTATTTTCCTCAACCACTTGATCATACTTTGGAATTATCTTTGAGAGAATTATGATGGAGCTACCTGACCTGTTTTGACTGGGTGCTCAATTACTGGACTACATTTAGAATTACACCAACATTTTGCTAATCTTGCGTAAAAATAATGTGCAGAGATATGTCTGCAGAGTACATTCTTTCCTTTACTTATGTTGCTAAACTGATAAGAACAGGGATACCTGTAAACATAAATGGATGTGGCCCGAAACTGGGTTATTTATCCTTCATTCTTTTGTTACACAAATAATTTTAAAAAATATTTTGTTCGTGTTGTTTTCTTCGAGTTGGAGTTTAATCGTGGGTTTTCGTTGTCATTCTAGACAACATCATCAGCACAAACTTCAGACAACAGTGTACGATAAAGCTTTCTCGTAGTTTATTTAGTGGCTTATATTATGATGGCCCTGTGTGTGATTGGTCGTTTCTGCCACAGTCTTGTCGTGGTTTCCATGTTTATTTTGGTTGGTTGTCCTGATGACCTGAAAGTTGACCTTCGTGTCGTTTCTTCATCAGGACAAACAATCAAAATAAACATGGAAACCACGACAAGACTGTGGCAGAAACGACCAATCACACACAGGGCCATCATCATATACGCCACTAAATAAATTACGAGAAAACCTTATCGTACACTGTTGTCTGAAGTTTGTGCTGGTGATGTTGTCTAAAATGACAACGAAAGCTCCACGATTAAACAGTCCAGCTTGGAGAACACACCATCAATATTATTCTCTTGAGCTGCATATATTCTCTGTTATCTCACTCAAAAAACATCCTGCATAGTATCTTCCAGCAGTTTCAAGCTATCATCCTTTGATTTAGAATTGTGCTGTTAAACGCAGACAAAATGAGAAGGAAAGAGGAAGTTTCCAAAACGAATTGCAATGTTAAATGAGTATGCTTTTTTTTGCCATGAAACAAGTAATAACTCAACTTCCACATATAACATATACCCGTTATGAGAAACCAAGTGATAATACTAGGCTGCCAGTGTCTTACTGTACTGTGAATGATGAGGGATTAGAAACTACCAGTTCAAAGAATAAAACCCAGAATAGCGAATCACACCTTCACAATATAAATAGTGACAGATGTAGAAAAGTTGCGAGCTTATGAATTCACTAAACAACATTCTTGATGCTGAAATCAAATATGGTAAGCTTGTGGCATAAAAAGGTATCAAATTATTCCATTCTCTTCGTTATTTCATTATCATTAGGTAATTATGTGCCCTTAAGTAGGTGTTAATTACACTTTGTTGGGTGAGTGAATATTCTGATTGTTTGTTCAGGTCAACGGTCTTTTTCTTGGTTCAGTTTTCAGTGATCTTAACATGAAAAATCTGTAGCTTTCTCAGAGTTATAATACAATTTTTATTATTCTATTTATTTTCTGTGAAAATTGTTCTCAATTAATAGTTTTATTCTCAATGATACTACTTTGTTACTGCAATTTTATGAGATCTAACCAGCAATCTACTTAAAAAAGTAATCGTTTCTTTTTCTCACAAGATCTCAGCTTTTATGTCAAAGTGAAAGTTTTATCAGATTTTCAGCTTGCCTATATATTTTAGGAAAATTTTTATGTTAGCGGTAGTGATAAACTATATTTGTTTCATTTTTGTCATCCTTTACGCACAACTGTCAGTGTCTCACGTGAATGAGTATTTAACAAGGTGATTCTAGGCTATGCTAACTTCCTTCAATTCACTCATACTTTTTGTGTTTTTTTGTTGCCGAATTTGTCTTTTTATTAAGTGACAGTCATTCTGTTTGATGTTATGACAAGCATAAATGACAAAGACCAATTGTTCACAGAATTCATAGATTTTGCACAGCGTAAATACCCTGAATCTGATCGGAATAGACGCTTATTATTGACAGCATTCATACTTAGTGAATAGTTTCCTCAGGAAATGATATAAATGACTTTTATTCAGCTCATAAGTATGCGTACATAAATTTCTAAATCGGAACAGCTAAACAATCTACATTGACGCTCAATGTGGTAAACTGGTTATGTGTTTAATTTCTTTTTCACTTCCTGAAACAAGCTTATCAATAAAATTTAATATGCTGATATATCATGAAATTTTAGTAGACATAAACACATTTAATTCATAGCGGTTACCAGAATCTACATTTTAAGCTCATAGACTGAGAAGTAAATACAATGAAAGATCATATTTTGGCTCTACTGTAGTCTATCGACTTGCGTAAATGGGGATTATTTCTATCCTGAATGTCAGGAACTCTTATTAGTGTGATAACATAGAGCTAAAAAGTAGTTTCACAGCAGCTGAATCTCTGAGAACAGTTTCAAGAATAGCGATTAGCAATGAAAACTACTTTTTGTAAGTGAAGTGAAGCATAAGTAGAGAACACAGATAGAATTGTATCATACAAACTGTAATATGGGTGTCGCTTACTTCTTTAATTTTTGTATGCTTTATGTGATGGCCAAGGTTTTTTATGAAATGATGTTTTTGTCATTATACATATGACTTAACTACTAATAATAACAATGTTAACAATAAAATCTTATTACTCATGGCGAGAATATGTTCAACCGTTGTGCATAAACCCAATTATATATGCACTATATACCAGTGATCGCTTTGACAGGATAAACGGGTTGCTAGTATACGAACCTATGTCAGTGTCCAAATTCTTGGCACTCTGTAAGCTAATTTAATGAGGATTATTCGACCCTTCTCCTACCATTTTGAATCTGTGTTCGGCATGATCAGAGAAGGTTCTTGCTCAGAGCAACCTTCATTCTAAACATTACATATTTCATTAGCTTTACACGATACTTACAAAAGTAAGTACTTCAGCGTCTTTTTAGTCTACTTATAATAATTTGCCAAAGAAGGTAGTCAAGAAGGATTTTTCAACCCACATTATATACTTGTTAGATCTTATTAACTGGATGAATTAACAATCTTGAACGAAATAATGCATCCTAAATGATACGAACTTGCGTCAGTCAGCACTTCACTGAGAAACGTTATTACCCATCTATGTCAGACCACAAGCTGAAATACCTTGGTTTAACTCTTAGAGTTTAAATAAACCAAGTATGACTAAATACATTTCGTGTCAAAGAACAAATTATCAGCCATATCTGTGGTGCCTGAAATAGTAATATCCAGTAGAACAACCTACAGTTTTTATGTTAGAAGACAAAAAGTGCACCTGACATCATTTCCTAAATTCTTATAAGGTGCAGGTCAAATTAAATAAATCGTTCGTTCATGGAATGTTTTGCCAAATGAAGACTGAAACGTAGACTATAAAACAGGCTGGTTATTATACAATTTGTTCTGATTCTTTCTCCCTCATCCTCATGTGATCATATATCCAAAGCTTACTTGTTTTTCTGATTTGGATAACCTAGTTGCTTTTTTTGAGTTGGCCATTTTTCTTCTTGACTTATTAACATAATATCACTTTTTGATACTTGTAATTTACCGTTGTTATGATGGATAGAACTGATCGACCTCTGTTGGCAATATGGATTTCTGTGCCCATGTCTCGATACTACCTGTATATTTATTATTATATTTTACTTAGTTATGACTAACAGACGGATTCAGGATGCATCTTTCATCCTATTTAGGACTCGTCACCTGGACGTACCTGCACCCCCAGTGATATTGTTTCCACTGTGAACCAAACCTCATACCCATCACTTTAAGTGCCAAAGCGTTACCCACTAGGATAATAAAGCAAGTCATTTATAATAAGAATTATTTAGGCAATGTAGAGGCATCCGCACAAGATCCCATACACCAACAAAGGTTGGTCAGTTTGATCCAGTATGACAACAAACAGTTACCAGTAGCAACAAATAATAACTAATAGCCGTTGCAAAAGAAGTAGTCATCATGCCTCAGTGGCCCAATGAATAACACTTTAGCGTTTGAAGGGATGGGTGCGAGGTTCGAGTCTCAGTGGGAATAACATCACTCATTAGTGTGCTGGTACATCCAGCTGACAAAACGCTCGTCCTGAATTCCACTGCTAGGCACAACTAAGTCACTTATTAACATATAATTTATTCTAGTAATCTCGATCCCCTTTAATAACTTCCATCTTGATGCCATTTGTACACAAAGCAAATCTGACAAATAAAATGTGATGCCGTTCACATTCTATATAATGTAATTTAAATATTTCAGTTAACAAAAAACACTAATGAAATAAATTGGGTTTATGTTTTTTGACAAACATCTGTTCCGATCACGTTATTTAAAATAATTATTCGGCAGTGTTTGAGTTTTCTCAGAGACTATAGTATCTAATTTAGCTGAATTCAAATGCAACAAAGATCTGTCACCATGACGTGTTCACCAACAACATTTGATGGTGGTTGCGCTACATCATGAATTGAAAGAAATCAGAAAATCTGCACTATCTTATCGCGCTCACCGTGAAACCTGTTGGTCCTCGGTTAAAACCTTGGTGAGATCATAGATAGGCACTGCTGAAGAGTTCCACACTGGTATGAAACAGTTGTCCAGTGCCCTGAGTTTTCAATGGTTCTCCGAATAATATCACTCTGTGATGAATACTACTTTTATATATAGTGATATTATATTTCGTCATGCATGCAAGTTTGTAAATATGCCGGTTGCCATTAAATGACTCTTATACGCATATACTTATCAGTATAGATATATAACTATATACAACTAATCGGTAAACTGGTCAAATGTTGTTGAAAAGGCCTATAGTGTTGTTAAAAGTTGTTTGGAAGTCAATTCATTCACACTTAGCCACTAGTAATATATGTCACCTCATACTTTAAAAACAAAAATAAGTAACAGGACACTGGAAACCAAAGTTCAATACAACACAACCTACAACGTTATGAGTATTTATTAATCTACCTACCGAAAAGTTATTAGTCGTGGTAAGCTGTTTACACAAGTTGAGAATAATAATAATAATAACAACAGTACACAACCTAATCTGATTTCATGAAATGAATAAGGACTGAGACATACTCCTTTGAAATCTGAGAATTACTCATACAACTAAAGTAAACAAATGAATAAATTACATTCTTATGATGAATACTACCTCTATATTCTTATTGATTTATTTGTTTATCAGAAATGAAAATGGCTTATATCTTTTCCGTTTATATATATATATATATATATATATATATATATATATTCCTATTATCTTTAGATTACAAATGCTCACACAATGAAGAGAAATGTTTCAAACTAATCCATTTATGTAATAAATGTCCTTTTTATCGATTGTCATTGTGATACATCTTATCACATACATAAAATTGAGTTAAATGGAAGGAATTACTCTTAGATATCATAGCTTTTAATTTCCCATCGTTGACTTGACCGAATTGATTAGTCACTATAAGAGTTTTTGTTTGAATGCCACGATATTGTCAGTATTTTCAATTTGATATTAGAAATGAACGGTGGTTAGCAGCGGAATCCAGGACACGTGTTTCGTCTTACCTGGGATTCGTTCGATGAATGCCTTCACACACACGCACAAAGGAGTGATATTGTCCCCTCTGGTACTTGAACCCAGGACAAATACCTTCGAACGCCTAAGCATCATCCAGTAGGCCAATAAGTCTTGATGACCACTTTTTATGTGACGCGAACCTATATGCAATAATGACTGACCAATTTGGTTCATTCAACGATGGGAAATTAGAAGTTTTAATGTCTAAACTATACTATATCCTTCACATAGCGAGTGACTATTGTGGCCCAGAAGTCTAGTTGGTAGGGCTTTGGTGTTTTAAGTGATTGGTCCTGGGTTGGGGTATTAGCTAGAACAACATAACTGACTGGGAGGTAGGTACATTTGGCTGACGGACAGTGCATCGTGGATTCCGCTTCCAGCCACTATCCATCACTAAGTGATTTTCTTTTCGTAAGTAACTGTTAAGGAAACTTTGATAGAGTAGATAACAATAATAGCAATGGTGCTAAAACTCACTTCTTCCGACTACTCGCTTTTTTAGATTCACTAAAGCCTACTAGATGAAATGGCTTTCTTTTGAATAGAATATTTTCATTTAACATAACCTAAAATCAAAAGATACAGAAAGTCACACTTTCAGTCAGATCACTATCTTCATTAAGAAGAAACAATCTTTTGAATTTTCAGATAAATCATATGGAATGAAAACTGTGTCACCGGAAGGTAATAGGCTTACAGTAGAGAAAGATTTCATAATAGATTGATGTGATTGAGAAAGTCCTTGTCTACAGTGCTACTTAGATTTGAAAGCCTCATCTCAACTGTTTCAATAGGTTACCAAAATCATCTCAAGGTCATTAGGATTTTACAAACCACCTCATGAACTACGCTTACTCATCGAATCTCACAAATTCTTATAATTGCTTTATAACACTCTGCCATTTGAAGCAATCAGTGGTTGGTTAAGTTCTTACTGTGAGTACCAGTACTACTTAGAAAGAAGATCAGAAAAACTGATTGTTCCTAAACAGATTACAAGCTGTACCTCAAACTCCATTGCCAGTAACTACTTAGTATTTCTCTCACAAATTCGCATCGCTTCATGGTTGTAGATGAGTAGTTAACCCCAGCCAATCATGCGAGAAGTCGGATATTTAAAAGGCATATAGTAATTAGAAAGCGTAGAGGTATATTTTGCAAAATTTACCTGTGCTAGTAAAATCTCAAAGTATTGAGCTTGGATCCCCAAATAATTGTCTATAATGATTCCTAATCCATGCATTATCATGCATATTTCCAGTGAATTGTAAAAATGGGGACAAATGTAAATCGTTCGGTTCTCGCGAAACTTTGAGGTTTGTGCTTGGATGCTTCATCATCAGGGTGATGAAGTCTCCTAGTTCGGTAACGAAACGTCCTCTAACAAATCTATAAGTAGGCAAACATTAAACACTTATCATCCTCCTATTAGGTTACAGATCTTCTCTACTATCTCAAAGGAGATTAATGCAAAGGAAAATAGTAACGTACGTTGACTATTAGTTTTCATTGAAATACTAGTTCTTCTCTCATATCCTGATGGACTATTAGTTTCCATAATGCGTGAAGAAGGTGACAGGTGTAAATATAACATTAGTTTAGTAATTTAGGATCAAACTACTAATTTTAGGCTTGCGTTGGTTGTCTTACTATGGCTGGTGACGAAAAGGAGTAATATTGGAAAAATAATGGTTCGCAGCAAAGTGATAAGAAACAAGCCATAAGTCATATAAAACTTTCCTTCAAATCTTACCAATAATTTAGTCAAAACTCATTCGATTAGCACGAGCATACAGTGAAAGAGCTAACTGTGAGGGTATTTCTATCCAAGATATGGATCTACATTTGATGATTTAAACAGTTGCTTCTTCATTGTGTCACATGCATACAATAGATTGTTATATCTAAAATTATTTGATTCTACTTTAATCTCCTTTGTTTAGTTAAATCAAACTCAATGTTCGGTGATGACAAACAATCTTCTGGTCTTGGCATTATCCCCTCAGCTATATCATGGTTATTTCGATTAATTACCGAACAGAAGGAGCGTACAGGTGCACGATTCTCCGTTCGTATATCTGCTGTTGAAGTTTACGGTAAAGAAGAGGCATTAAGAGATCTTCTATCCTCTGTCTCTAATGGTAAGTCAGCAAAATTAATTTTTTATGCAAAGAAGAGAGTAAAAGATCAATTGAAAAATATTTTAGAGGAAATCATGTACAGTAGTCTGAGTTTTTCTCATATGAAAAATTAATTTTTCCTTAATTTCGATCTCTGAAACTGATGTTTTTTTGTTTTCCTCCAAGTTAACAAAAATTAAAGGTGGACATCAATTTGTCTGTTGGCTTTTACATTACGAATAAGTCGATTTTTTTTAATGTTCACATTGTTTGTAGGTTTGTGTGCTTGGGTGTTTTAGTGAGATTTAGTAAGTGATTGAATGAGCGATGCTATGATTTTAACTTTATTAAGAATACATAACAACATGAACATAAAGAAGGAAGTAAGAGAAATCTGCGTCGAACACTTGTATTACGTGACTGAGATTACTGAATAATATCAGAAAGTTTGTTTTTACTTAGCAAAACATGTTTGTTATACAAGCTGTTTTCTTTTAAATACAGAAATCTTTCGTTATAGCACATAGGCTAGAAAAATAATATATACTCTCAGCGCGTTAAACAGTTTGGAATCATCTGTAAATGGGTATATAACCGTTATCTTTTTCGTACATGCGGATTCAGCGTGAACCATTCACCTTATTCAAAATCTAAACGCCAAGTGTAAGTTCGACTCATCTTCAATACAGTAGTAAATATGGATTAGATACAGGGTGGATCATTTTTATAAGTGAGCCTAAATCAAATTAATTTGAGATGAAACTTAAAGCGGAATCAACTGATAATGCTATTTAAATAAAGTAGATCTGTAAAATGCATTTATGTGGCGAAAGTTACAGGGTGCTAAGACTGAACAACATGAGGAATATGTTTTTCAAAGTGACTACTACTCTTCGCATTACTGACATGAAGATAATATTGAGCGAACGGAATCGCGGGTGACATAAAAACATTCAAGCCTTTATGGGGTTTGTGACAAAGAGCATATATGGTAAGAACCTGATGTTATCCATTTTGGTGATCATTAGTAGTGATGTTTAGGACACCATATTCACTTTAGTCTGACTGTTGATATTCCTAAATAGATTGTATTCACTGTTCATCACTCCAAACAGTAGAACGTTTTCCATGAGACGATTGATTTGTTAGATCCAGCTCTTATGTTGTGGGTGTTATTTATTACGTAAGATTGTAAATTTGCATTTTTTAACCTATCTTGACAAGAATACTACACTCAGTGAAATGTGAATCAATTCACACATAGGTCGATGTGTCAAGACAGGTAGATACATGTGGTTCATCACAGTTGAAGTCTGGAAACTGTAAACTATCCATATGTATTAAAAAAACTGAAGGAAAATTAAGTAATACCCCTTAACAACAGCTGTTTTGGATGACTTAAGATCAGCTTTTACAAATCCAACCTAGCTGCCGTGAATTCATAAAATGAATCTGCTTATCCAAAAAGAATGAATGAATCAACTATGATAACTGAAAATCATATTGTTTTATGAGTAATTTGTTGATTTCCTAATGCTCAATTTAAGGAAGTTAATCAAAACCTTGACAAAATTGATGCGTTGACCAGGAAAATGTGTCTGCTAAAGTTGTATCCAATAAGATCGTACAAATGAGTACTAATACAGCGACTGAAGAGTATCGTGTTGATAGATGCCTCACCAATGACCATTAAGTAGCTTAGTTATTCATATAAAGTTATTTACGTAGAGAACACTTATACGATCGCGAACATTCCTAATAATAGCATGAGAAATAACTATCCCACTGCATTTTAAAGATAGTGAATCTCACGCTGTCAAGTATCCTTCTTCAATACAGTGTATCATGCAATAATCAATAAGTTTATCGTTCGGCTGCAAAGTATATCTGGTTTCATCGAAGTCCTGAGAACAACCTCGATTCAACACTGTCTATATTAAGATAAAACAATATTTTCAGTCCACATATTGTTAGCAAACTTCAATATTTGAGATTCTTTTTGTAAAATTATAGAATCGCAACTTTTCTATTATCGACTTTTACCACTTCTTGAAGTCTTCATACCAGATCCCTTTTCCGAATCCATTTGCATCATTATTGGCGGCTCTCTAACAACGCAAAATGTTATTCCATATTTTTAATCTAGTCATAAGATTTCCATTGTCCCACTTTTGTAACAAACCTTATTTTACATATTTTAAAAGTAACATATATATCCACTAGTTTCTATAATTTTATTGCAAATGAGTACAATTACATTCCTGCTAACCACCCGCGTTCTGTGTAAAAATCATGTTCAACTGGATATCAATACTTTTGGCACCTCTCTAAACAACCGATGTAGTAAGTTAGCCGTCAAAACTAATCTCTTGAACATTCTTTTAATACTGAATAGAAATCACAGAACTGCTCTTGTCTCCATTAGATTAATACTTGCTGTTAAGTGCCTACTGACTCGATGATATCATGCTCAGCATTTTTATCATGTGACTAGGAATGATAAACTAAAATTGTAAATCCAGGTTTTACGCTTACTGTCACAAGTCAGATACTTTGTGAAATTTCACAGAGACTTCCACTGTTTTAAAGGCTTGAAGAGAGAAACGCCAGATCAGAGTCTGTTTATTGCGAAGTTTAGGGATTTTTTCCCTATTCTATGTATATAAATAAAGAGGGATAGAATTTGTAACGATGTTACTGCATATGTTATTCGACGTCTACTGAATGCCCTCTATCATTCTGCAGACTAGTTGTAAGCTGAAAGACTTGCAAAAATGTGACTTGGTGGCTTAAAAATAAGTTTCCAATCGACTATTATTATCCATGATTATATCACGTATCTTTTTTCTGAGCTCCCTCAGGAACTGACAGGGACTTGCACTTAGGAGACGTCCATTCTATTTGAGATACAGCATGTTCTGTTAATCTCATCATAAAAATATTTTTCTCATGTAATATACTACTATTCAAATATATTATCTTGCACATATTCGTCCCTTAGCATTCTACTTTTATCAAAAACTATTGGTTCGGTTTTTTATAAATTGAAGCGACAGATGCAGCTGGAGCGAATGCACCCGGTATTTATCTTCGAGAAGATCCAATTTCTGGTACTCAGCTTGAAAATCAAAGTGAACTCAGGGCACCTACAGCAGATAAAGCAGCCTTTTACTTAGATTCAGCATTGTCTGCTCGCAGTCAGCCTGTGATAAACAGTGGTTCACCAGCGAAGTCTTCTCCGGTACCATCATCCATGACATCGACTTCTTCCACTGCTGAAGTTCTATGGAAAAGAAACTCACATCTATTCTTTACATTACATATATATCAGTACAGAGTAGAAAGAAGTGGGATAGGTTCTGGTGGTAAGTATTTAATAAACTGAACCATGTTTTTTGTTTCTTTGTTATTCTATGCTGCTGATCGTCTATAGAAAGCTGTTTTTACCAGCAGCTATCGAGAATAATATACGTAATGACATACATTAGTAGAGACACGGTGGATGGGAAATAATTACTTCATGCAAACTCAAACTAATTGCTTCAAGCGGATAGAAATTCTACTTTGTCCTACTGAATAATATCCCCCAGCGAAATCATATCAGACTTTATATTTCAAAATGAAAGTGCTTCAAGAAAACAACAAATTGCAAGGTTTTATAGTCTCATGGTGAAAATGTTTATAATTCTACCCTTTACTGACTTGGTTAAAATGGAGTCACATACGAAGAACAACAAAATGGCAGGACTTGCCTAAAGTGCAAAGACATATGGAACAAGAAAATTTCAGTTTCTTATTTCAAAAACAATTTCTACGAAAATTTGAAATCAGAGTGAATCTGGATCATCTTCTTAGTCAAAGTGGTTGTGAATCTCAACTTATGACTTGATTAGAGTTATTTTAATTACTCATCATCCTCAGTATTAAAATAATGGTCATTATAGTGGTTGAATAAAGAGATACACAAATGTAACTAAAGCTAGGTTGATTTACACAATTAAATCTGGTTTTCATTAGTTCACTGTGTTGAAAAGAACCATGTATATCTGATGATAACCAAAAGATGCATATGCATACATACATGGGGCTGGAAATAATAACTGTTTACTTGCCACAGACGCAAGTTTTAATAGTGACTCTTTTACTCAGTATCTCCGTTTTTCCGCAAACCATTATCCGCTAAGGTGTCTGCAGAGTATATGGGTATTTAGATGATAATACATCTTCTTTCTATGTACTCTTACTGACTGCTCCCCACAATGCTTACGTAGTTGTATGATATCTGCAACTCCCCGTTGCTATACGCGGTCAAATTGCTCTACCTCTGCTGGCAGATTGGCTCCTATGCAGACGCCTAAAAACTGCCGGTTATCTAATGTGAGTCACCAAGACGAACGAAACACCATGAATATCCGGCAGTATGGAGGCGTCCGCGTAGGAGCCAATCTGCCAGGAGAGGTCCAGTATTTGACCCTATATATAGCAAAGGGAAATTGCAAATACAAATTCAAGAGGCGGGTCTTGTGCCCCAGTGGCCTAGTGGATAACACTTTGGCGTTTGAAGGAATGGATACAGAGTTGGAGTATTAGTGGGAAAGATGTCACTCATTGGAGTGCAAGTACATTCACCTGACGAGTCCTAAATAGGACGAAACGCGTGTTCTGGATTCCACTGCGAGTCACCAAAAGGGATCCAATACTTATGGTTGGCAGATATCGAGTTAAACTGATTGCATGAGCAGTACTACTTCTAGCATGTATCACTGTGCACAGTGACACTCCTAATTTTAGGACACCATCTTTTTACGCCCATTCCATTTTTAAATATGTAACCTACAAGTGGAAGGGGATGCGAATTAAGACTTTAAGTTTTTTTTCGTATCACTGTAATGCTCACTAAAAATTCTTCAGTAAAGTAGCTATGTATCGAGCTTATTCCTTTGCTTCAGAAAACTCATTATTTCGATTAAACCTTATTTGATAAGATCATTAACTTTATACGTCGGCGAGTAAAAATTGACAATGATTCCCCTGAAATCAGTTAATATTCTTACTGAATGATTGATTAGTTAGGCTATTTCAAAGTATTCCGACAAATGTCTTTTTCTGGGTGAAAAAAGAAACCATATACTTGATTTGGTTTTCTGGGTACTAATTATCAAAAATAACTGAAGAGACTGATAAGTTGTTCAGGTTGGAACTCTTGTAGCGAACAGAACAAGTCTGTCACAAATTGAGTGAACGGTTAAGACTTCTATGATTATGTTGGCTCTTTTTGACTACATTTCGTATATAAAAGGAGTTATAAGTATCTAGTCACGCGATATGAATACTTTGCGTTGAAGTTAATTGGCTGAATTTTGGCAGAAAATACGGCTAACTAGATTTGAGCATCCTGCTCTAATAAGTAAAAATAATACTTGCGATTTGATAGCTTAGATTTCTGAACAACCCAAGCCATACTAAAAAAAGATCGATAATATTTAGTTGGCAGTCAGGTCTAGATGGCATGAAATTATTTGCCCGCCAGTGATTAATCAATACTATGGAAAGAAAATTGGAAAACTATTTCCGTCTACATATTTCAGAGGCGTAAAAAATCATGTAAGGCCAGAGGTTGATGCTGAAGATATGTTAAAGTAGATTCACCATGTAAATTTAAAAGCCATCTGTTCCAGAATAAAGCTCAAAACGCATAAACTCTCAAGAAGGAGGTTGGATTTACCGAAGTAATTCATAAGATCAAATGTTTTCCAGTTCTATGTAACAGGGTGCAAGGAAAATCCATATGAGATAGACGACATGAATAATAATGATAATGTTAAAGAAGTGAACAATCTTAAATTAGCGGATATCTTTCATCAATCGTCTAGGAAGCTAATACTTAGATAATCCAGGCTTTCTGTTACATCAGTGCTGGTGATAGGTATGATAAAAATGGTCAGTGTTTTGTGTTCGAAACCGATGTTGGTCAATAATGTTTTTCCCTAATAAAATAAACGGTATAAATTAGTAGTAAATTCAGTTCTCCGTGATATATTTATGCTCTCTTACCTATGTAGTGTGACCTAGATTACTAGGTCACTTGGTCAAGTCGTTGCATATAGAAAAGTTTTGGAACATCCCAGGACCAGCATAACTGAATTTTACTGACAAAGCGAATGAATTCTTTAAACTGATTGTACCCTTTTCCTAAAATATCTCAACTGGGCACATTTCACTAATGTAATCGAATAATCTTCATAATTTTAACTTAGTTTTTTAAAGTGTTATATTTTCGACGCACTGAACTATTAGTTCTTTCGTAGAACGCACACCTATAGGCTTAGGCAGGTATCAGTGTTCCGATGTTTGTTAAAGCAGCTATAACTCTTGATAACCGAGGGATTACAACATTTTCCCATACGAAACTTAGATGACATAGCCTTGACAACGATATATGTTTCAAAAAAAATTTTAGCATTTCAAATGAAATGATATGGACAACAAGTTAAAGATGCCTTTGATTTATAATTCTGTTACAAACATCATCTCGTACCTCATGAACGTTTTATCTTGAATTAATAAAATAACAGGAGAAGTTTTGCATAGGACAAACTGTTTATTCAGTAGGGATTTTATTCAACTTGTCTCTGATTACCTGCTTTCGCTGTAGTCATTCCACAAAACCGTAAATGATTCACAAAGTTACTCTCAACGTTATAGTAAAACTAATTTTGAAGTGATGGAGAATATTTTTGTAACTCAAGTGGATCATCTTTACTATGTTGCATTCTCTGGATGGTGTAATCATGAAGCCTTCATCATATTTTTATTGGCGTTAGTGTTGATAATGTTGTCTAGAAAGACAGCTAAAAGAATGCAGCACAGACTAAGACAAACTTGTTTGTTTTCAGTTCTATAGGCTTTATTTTCAAAGATCTTATTTTTAGGTAAACGGAATGCGTAGGGTTCATCAATCTTTCATTTACGATAATTTGGAAAGTTTTAAATCCTAGTTTTGACAATTTTTTTATATTTTGTCTTGTTAACATGAAGTTGCTGGAGGTCGGAGTCGGCTGCATTTAATCGATCTAGGAAATGCTAAATTGCCAAAAGATTCAAATCCAGATATCAGTGCACATGATTATGGTTCAGAACATATGGAGAACAAACAACAATCTATTTCTTTATGCGAATCAGCATTATCACTATCATCGATGACATCTGTTGTACTCGCTTTAATCAATGGAAATAGGCACCATCCACATAGAGATAGTAAACTTTCTCAAATGTTACACGAAGCAGTTGGCAGCATTGGATGTCGCACATGTATCCTTATACAAACATCACCGAGTGTAGATTGTTATCAAGAAAATCTCCAGGTTAGTAAATAGCATTTTGTTAAAATCCGTCTATACTGCTCTATGGTGAATTTTGTCTTATAACTGCTTTAAGAAGACCATTTACTTGCACCTGCTTTTACTAACATTGCGTATTACAGAAGCGAAATGGACGTTATAAATTTTCTGTTTCTACCTATCTTTCTATGCATTATTTACTTTTCCTTCCTTAAGGTCAAGCCCATTGAAGTAAGGGTGAACATATTATTTTTCTTATATCTGAATGACTTATGCTTAAGTACATGGAATAACGTGCACATATGATCTGGCCGTTTTTTCTTTATCCTACCTGTGTCAAACTGGTTGAGCTAATATGTCCAAATACAATGTTTAGCTAATTATCAATATTTTTCTGAAAGGTTTATGGATCCCCCAAAAATAATAATCCACATTTTAGACAGACTCAAAATATTTCATTATCAACTACTGAAATATTGAATTAGGTTTCTGCATTTTATGAAACACTACCTTACCAGCCGAAATAAAGCAGCTTGATCGATTATTTAAGTAGTTATTAGAGTAGCATTAAAAGTCGCCTAGGCTTTGAATGGTGGGAGATTTTGTACACAGTTTAAAGATCACGCATAGGGCAATGATTGTTCGAATAACATAAGAAACCCTGTTATAGTGAATATAAGTACAGACTATCAGGCAATGAAGAATAAAATTCATGTGAATAAAATACAAACTCCTTAAAGTCTGGTTGTTCCCTTCAGAGAAGTATTAAAGCATTACACAACTGACTACCAGAAATCATTACAGTGTTACAGATATGTTGAATTGCATGTAATTTATTTTATTGTTACTAACAAAAAGGTTTTGAGTTAGATATGATTCTTATAAGTAGTGTAGGTAAACTATCCTGAATTCTGATCTTAAAACTAACTAAGAGTATAAAATTTTGAAAATTTTGGATACTTTTGTCACGCGAATGCCTGTCTTCAGTTTCCAGAATTTCATACTTCCAGCATTCTTGTAAGGAGTAAAGGGAAAATATCTTTAGTGCATAAAACATTACTGACAACCCTAACCCCGAAGCTGTTAGTTGCACAGATGGATAATGAAGATGACTCTTCTACTTGTTGCTCGTGAAAAATGCCTAGATTTCAATTTCCAACCCAATGACTGGGTTACATTTTATCCTTAATTTCCCTTCTATACCTGTAGATCTACTGTTTTGAGATCGGTAAAAATCTGCTTATATGTCATTTTTTCGAGGGAGGTAGTGTCCTGAATTCCTCCCTCAATAAATGATTGAAAGAATATTAGTCAAGTAAATTTTTATCTTTAAATCCTTATTAATTAGCTTCTGCAGTTTGCGGCAAAGATTCAAAGAGGCCGACGGCACAGAACATATGATCGAACATTACCAGGAGATGGTTCTAATACCACAGAAATGTGTTCTAAGACTGATGAACAGAATACTAGCTCTGAGGACAGCTCATCATGTGACAGTTTTGGCTTAAGACGAGCAGGAAGACTACGTTTAAATATGGGTCTGCGTCTAGCAATGAAGCGCTCAAATGGCTATAAAGGATTTTCAACAAAATATAGACATTACGGTCCTGACAGTCATTTGAGTTTGGCTGCTTCTTCAGAAAAAGATTATACATCTAGCAGTGAACAGTCATGTGATACTGTTATCTATTTGGGTCGACAAGGTTTACTGGATCATCAATATGATCTGGATGATAATCAGAAGGCAAGATCTCGTTTAGGCAAACCAGTACCTGGTTCAAATTTGGATACGGACTCCGTAAGTTTACATTTGTTCATGGCTATTCACTCAATAACTATTTAGTTAAAGGAACATTTAGTCGAAAGTTTGGAAATTTTTTGTATACCACTGTCACTGATTAGTTCAAGCCTAAGATTCCTTCACACCTAGTATTCATTTATTTCAAAATCTTTTTTAATGCACACGATTAACTGTGGTGAGTAGAAAAGTAAAACTGCTACAAATCGTTTTACCTTCTACAACCAGTAATTTGATTCATGTGAAAGGTTATAGGAAGCGCTGTATGACAGCACTTTATTGGAAATCAGTATAACCAATATAAAACCTCATGTCAGAGTTCACAGGGGAGACATAAAAGTGTTCATTAATTGTCGTATAACTGAAGTAAACAGGAATATGGTTTCTCTCAAGGTCCTCCTATACATCCTATAGTGTCATTTTTAGAGTTTATTTGTATGTAAATAAGATAAAGGACCACCGTATGGTTAGTGTTTTACTGTAAAATCGGATCAATAAATATTTATTTGGACATTACGCCTGCTTGGGTTATATGGGGCGTCACACTACGATACTGTCATCCGAAAGACACTTCATCTTATATCATTGAAGTTCCGCAATTTAAGATATTACTCCAAATGCTAACCTAAAGTCTTCCAAAAAAATCTGTTTTCGTAATTCTGGCTTATGAATCAAATCACTTTAGGAAAGCAGTTGTACAGATGTGAATGAAAATTTTTTAATTACTGAGAAAATGTTTATTCCATTATTTTTTATGGATATGTAAAAGTCTAGAACTAAAAATCATCAGATATTTCGATTGTGAACAATGAATAATTTTAGCAAACCCCCATAAAATTTTATTGAGGTTAAGTTAGAGTTTTGTCAAATATTTGAAGTGAAGACTATACCATTTATGCTACACTGCTTCAAAAAACCCTTAAATCCTATGACTGATTGTTGTTTGGTTCTCTAATATAAGAAATAGATCCAAATTCTCTAAATTAACTGACAGATTTCAACAACTGCAGTACAAGTACGACAGCCAAATAATCAAATTAATCAGTGGGAATCAGCAGTAAAAAAGAAAAAGTCATGAAAAGTGCTCTGGTAGCATTGGTGGAAAGGGAACATAGTCAAAGTAGTCACAGAAACCGTGTAAAAAAGGTCGCAGAATATAGCGCACAAATCCAGTTGTAACATTGTGACCCCTTTTTAAAGGAGTATCAACCAAAGTACATCATCATAAATATCGATTACCTTGCCGACTCTAACAGGGAGACATATTTAATTATGAACCTAAGACTAAGATAAAAAGACATTATAAGTCGGTATTATATCTTTGACTCACTACATTATAGATTTCTTTATTCTCCTTATTTTAAAGGTTTATAATATTCTAAGACAAGTCATAGCTCATTTTGTTTAACTTATTATAGGATTTCCAGTTCAATGGACGAAGGCTCACAACCTTCTATATTGACAATCATCCGAATAACCACTTCAGTGTGATGGGACCATGACAGTACTGATCTCACAGATGAAATTACCATTAATTTATGTTTGATGATTATGTCCTGCTTTCGCTTGTAGGACAATTCGCACTACTGTGTAGCAAATGTGCTTTTAATGAATCTTCCCTTGTCTCATGGATGCCACTAAAAACAGTTTGGCAGGAGCCACAAAACATTCTTGGCACTTTAAGATACTCAGATAATCAAAATGATAATTAACAAAGGAATGTTCGAAACCACTATTTGCGAAACATGTCCTGTTTTCTAAATACAACATATCAACCACTACTATGCTAATAACCACCTGTTTCACCTGTAAGCGCTCACCTTATAAATGGGAAAACAATTCCTGGTTATAAGCCTGATTAATCTAATACTTCAGAAACTCTCAGTACCTAAATTATTGAAGACTCAAAAAGCCTTGGAAATCGGTTTTAATCCCTTATATCTAGTTCATTCCTCAAATGGTAAACTACACTAACAGTGAATTGTTTGTCGTATCAGAGTACCAAGTTACTTTCGTTAACCTTTTAACAGGTGGCTACAAACATTCGGCGTAAACTTAAACCCAACGCAAAACGCTCTATGAATCCTTTTATCTGTCACGTTCTCGTCAGTTCTTATCCAAAGTCACTTTGCTGTAAGCACTCTGCTCGGATAACTTCAAATAATAATAAACCAAACTGATGAATCTGTTATTATCTGCATCCCATTATAAAATAACAAACTGTTTCATTATCGGAGCCTTTTTCTTTTGCTAATGATTTGATGAAAACCTCCCAGTTTGAAATTTTTGACGAATATATTTAATTTCATCTTATTACTTCCAATTTAGGAGGCAAGCAGTGGAAGCAAAGTGAAGCAATTCAGTGGACAACAATTTCATGATTCTCCAGTAGGGTCATCAGTTGGTGTACTGAGTGGAAGCGGAGGCGGTGAAAGTGGTTCAGGAGGACATTCAGGCAGTCATACAAACTCTGGTGACCACTGTTCACCACACGGTGTACATTCCAAGGAGCGAAAACGGTCTGCTCCTAGAACAAATGTTTACGCTTGGCCACGTAATGCAGTGAAAAATGCAATTGAGACGCTAAGTACTCAAAAGGAACAGTGGGTTGATGGACCCAAGTCGGATTTTCATCCACCAGTTACAAATCATCAGATATCCCAAACTACTTCAACGACTGTATCTAAACCTAGCATGATAGACAAAGTAGGTTCATGCATAACTGATTTCCATATGACACAAAGCTTTTAACCAGTGTGAAACGATTTTGCTCACCGGAGTTCCAGATTAATTAGAGGAATAAGGGGATAATGACATTTAAATGAAGGAGAGCGATAACAAAATCATCAAGGTGTTTTTATAATCAAGTTAGTCAGCTGATGCTCATGTTGATGTATGAGGACACCGTGTAGAAAACAGATATGTCTGTATTTCTGATAATTAGGATGTATCAAACGAAAAACTGAAAATATTCGAGAGGATTAAGCGAATGCAGATGGCATCTAAACTTATCTGATATGATGTATCTGCTTTGAAGTCAGAGGCTATGAGGGGTAAAAGAACCAAACAAACAAGTTGTGATGACTACTACTCCCCTCATCCTAATAGTCTAAGCCATCATACAATTTATGGGGTCATAAAATCTGAAGTTTCATGAATTATATGTTCCATATTCCAGAGATGAACTATTATTCAGCTTGCAGTAAGTGTTCGCACCATTTACAGCAGCCATGTCTGACTATCCTTGAGTTTTTGACTAATATATCTGTTCCAGCCAATATGAGACCTGAAAAAACTGCAAGTGGGTCAGGCTAACACAACTCAAATTAGTGCATCAAGATAGAAGGCACGAACGTGAAAGAAACAGAAATATGGGGGGAAGCAGTTACTACTAATAAGTCGTAAGAGGGGAGGAAGAAAAGATACAATAACAAATTAATTCGGTTTAATGATAAAGATGGTGATAATCTGTGTTTTCATTCGCCTCATTGAGGTCGATGTTGAACCGTATTGCTTGGACTTCCCAACCACTGATTCCTATAGTCACATGGACCATAACAGAAACGTTTACATTGTCCTAAACGTCTCAGATCAACAGTTAAAGAATTTACTGGCTGATGACATGTATTGTTTAGCCCCTTCTTTGCTTATTCCAGCCTTACCCCACTTCAGCTAACAGTGTGCAATGTAGCCAACGATGACTTGGAATACATAAGACATGCCCCAGTTATCTGAGTCGATGAAGATTTATAACCTATGCACAAAAGTATTTTAACTTATCAATACACATAAAACTGACTAAACTTGGCAGCCTATCCTCTTCTCAGGATAGTATCACACAATGGATAGTCAACTTGCCACAGTGTTATGGCAAGCAATATCTCATCAGTTGTTTTACCTTTTATAACGGAAATTGTAGTTATTGTGCACTTCAGCAAGGTTCATCATAAGCTGATATTTACTGACATTTGACATAGATCTTAGTAGAATAATGTATAGATCAAATCCTACAACCTGATTAATACGCGTATGAATATTCCGGTTGGAAACCTTCCATTGTTGGAAACAATATGAAATGAAAGTGGAGATATTGTATCAGACTGAAAGATTCGTTTGCCATATATTTGTCGCGTAACTAGTGATATGCGATACTGTAATATTCACTGGGATACTATTACCTAAGTTCTTAAGTGAGGTACCAAAACCTTGAAGGTACTTTTCATAAATTTCAAGTATCAACCACAGATTCTACCAAAATATGCCACTATTCTTCATCAATTTTCTTTAGTTTAATCAACACACTTACTCTACGATTTAGGAAACTCAAGTGGATGAAATGACAAGAACTTCAGTGCCAATAGCAAATCAGACTCACACAACATTAAAAGAAGAGTATCATCCAACAATTTTAAGTCATTTACAGTCACACCAAAAAGTGACTACAAAAGATGCTTTAGAGGAAAAAGACGATGAACCAGATATTAGTGATCAAGAAAAACAAATACGTTTTTCAAAATCTCCAAGCATGAAACCTGTCGTGTCAGATTGTTCTACGCCATCGTTACTAAAATCAGTGAAACTCAATCCAGATAATGGAGGTAAATCAATATATGTCTTGTCTTTTTATCGTTTACAATGCATACCGGTCTAATTAATACACATTATTTCAGATGAATTTAAACTACTTTCTTACGCACGTGTCAAGTTTGAAATTCAGATCACAGGATTCTGATAAACTAGTAGAACTCTGTTTTATACCTTAGTAGTGCAAGATTTTCTTCATTGGTTCTTGTTTGCTGGAAATATAATTATCATCCTGACTATAGTACAGGGTTACTTGTCTCAACTGTTTTTGTCCATTTGAATTAGAACAGACAAAAGAGGTAAGCCATATGGTAACAAAAATTAACACTATGCAAATTCCAGTGAATTTATGTATCAAGATAGAAGAGACTAAGTTATTTTACTGTTTACTTGTAGAACTGGCTATGTCTTCCCCAGAAAAATACTGAAAACATGGTAATTAATATTATTATTACTATTTGTCTTTTGGGTTCCTAATGGAACATAGGGCTTCAGTAGCATGTTTCCAGTACACTCTCTTCTCTGCAAACTTTTGAACCTGGCTGCACAACAGCCCACAACCTCTCATTTCCTCCTCTCATGATCTCCTCCATGTCACCCTCACCTCGGACACCCAACTCGTCACTTCCCATGGGGTTCCACTCGAGTGACTGGCCTGACACGCGATGTCCCCAGTCGGCCTTCCTAGTGTATGCCACTTCAATCCATCTCCACTTCCTTCTGTATATTTGTTAAGTGATAAGTTCTTGCTTCGTTGGTTCGTTCCCAGAGTTCCTTGTTGCTTATTCTTTCTGGCCATCTGATCTTCAGCATCGAGCCAGTGTAGGCAGCAGTTGTTGATGAATGTCTGCAGTTTGTTGGAAATACTTCTCGTAACGCGCCAAGTCCCTCAACCACCACATAGAAGCACTGACTTGACTGGCATTCGTGTTGAAAATCCGGATCTTGTTCACGCTTTATTCTGAGTGCAGATCTCCACACTGATTTCAGGTTAATGAAGGCCTGTTTTGCTTTTCCGGTCCTGGATGCTTTGACATCCTCGTCTGTGCCACCTGTAGTTAAAACAGTGCTTCTTAGGTAGGTGGAGGAGGCTACTTCTTTTAAGTTTCTTCCGCTGATGGTGACTGGAACCTGTTGTTGTTGGTGGTGGTGTTGGCTGGGTATCTTCATCACCTCTGTCTTCTTTATATTCACTTGAAGTCTCGTCTTCGCTGCCCTGCCTCTTCTATCAACTTGTTAGTTTTCGCCTGTAGGTCTTCGAGTTTGTGCGACATCAGACACAAGTCATCGGCAAAATCCAGATCTTCTAGGTTCTTTTCCGCAGTCCAGTGTATTCCCCTCTTCTCTCTGCCCGCCGTTTGCTGCATGATCCAGTCCAGTTGACCACAATCAGGAATATCATAGATAACAGTAGACAGTCTTGTTTTACTCCTGTCTTCACTTCTAAAGCATCACTGAGCTTCCCATTGTGAATTACTTGGCATGTGGCATCTTCATATAGTTGTTGAATGAGGTTGATAAAGGTTTGCGGTACTCCGTAGTATTGAAGCAGTTTCCAAATTACCTCTCGGTCGACGCTGTCAAAGGCCTTCTCAAAGTCGATAAAATTGAGGTAGAGGGCTGATTGCCATTCTATGCTCTGTTCTATGATGATGCGAAGCGTTGCAATTTGGTCTGCACATGATTTGTACTTTCTGAAGCCTGCCTGTTCCAGTCGCAGTTTTGAATCCAGTGCGTCTTTAAGCCTCTCCAGGATGATGCGGCTTAATATTTTGCTTGGTGTGGGTGGACAGGAGAGTGATTCCGCGCAGTTCTTGCAAACACTTAGGTCGCTCTTCATCGGCAGTTTGACAAGGTAACCCTTCTTCCAATCAATAGGCAGGTACCTTCTCTTCTTTCCACACCTTCTGAAATAGTGATGTGAGCATGTCTTTTGTTGTCTCTGTGTCTGTTTTCAGTGCTTCTGGCGGGATCCTGTCTGGTCCTGCTGCTTTCCCACATTTCAGTAGCTTTATGGCGTTCAGGACTTCCATTTTCGTTAGGGGATTTATGTTCACTTGTAGTTCAGCGGCTGGGCTGCAGGTGGTATTTCTGGACGAAGTGCATGTTGTGGTGGTGGTCGATTCAAGAGCTTCTTGAAGTGGTCAGCCCATCATTTCCTTTGTTCCTCTTCTCTGATAATTAGATTTCCGTCATCATCTTTCATTAATTTCATCTGTGTTGATCTCTCCCATCCCACATAGTAACCGGGTTATTTGAAACAATGTTGTCAGGTCTCTGTCTCTTCTTCCTGTAGCCTATTCTGCTTCACTTGCAACTGTGTCGTTTAAGTGTCTTTTGTCTTTCCGTGCACTCTTCTTCACTTCTTTGTCCAGTGTAGTGTTTATACATTGTACTCAGTTCCTCATGTTGTTGAGCAACCATGCACTGGTTTGTCTTCTGCTTCACCATCCTCCTCTCCTCTATCAGCTTCCAGGTATCTGTCGAGATCCATTCCTTGTCTTCTTTCTTCTTCCTTCCTGATACTGTTGTGCAGATTTCTTTCTACATAGCTTTCAAAGAGTTCCAGTGTTCTTCCACACAGGTTTCTTCAGGGATGTTCCTCGATATCTCCCATTTTGTCTAGATGGCTGATGTGAAGATTTTCTTTGTAGTTTCGTCCTTCAGTTTCCGAGTGTTGTACTTTATTTGTGGTCTATCACCAGCTTCCTTGAAGGCTTTTAACTTGGTTTGGAAGGTTTCTTGCACTAGACAGTGAGTGGTCTAAACCTACATCTGCTCCTCTTCTTAACCTTGTGTCAAGTAGGCTGACTGTGTCTCCACTTTCTTCACATTGAGATAAAGTCGATCTGATTTTTAGTGTAGTTTGTCCATCTAGTGAAATCCATGTCGCTCGCTTTGTGGATATCCTTGTGCTTGAACACACTACTTCACCTCCAATCACCAAATCGTTGAATGCGCAGAATTCTGCAAACAATTCTCCATTCCCGTTCATCACCTCACCGAGTGCTTCTCGACCCATGGTTAGTTCTCTTCCTGTGTTGTCCCCTCTCAGTTTGGCATTCATGTCGCCCATTGTAATTTTGATATCGCCAACTTGAGTGATGTCTTGTCCAGTGTTGATTGCAGTTGTCTGTAGAATTCCTCCTTTTTCTCCTGATCTGCATTATTTGTAGGTGCACTGCGTAGTATTGTATGATTGTGACCTTCCTTCCTTTTGAGTTGAATCCATCTTGCAGTCATGATCCTGCAGGAGGAGATTGGTTCCCACTGCATGAGAGAGAGCCTTCGATGCTGTTGGGGACATCATGACAGCCACTCGAAAACTCAGTGTGCTCGTGGTTGTCGTCTGGGTGACAATATCGGAGTAGGTTATTGATTCTCCAGTTGACAGTTTGGAGAGTCCACTCCCATCCTCTCTGCTTTCGCAAAAATTCCTAGCACTTAAGTGTGATGCCTCTTCATCTCGCTTGCAATCTAGGCCGCCTTGCTGGGTTCAAACATGATGTGGACATTCCATGTCCCCACGTTTACTTTCGTTTTCATCTAGGGAGAGAAGACACTTTGACCAATTGGCTTCCCGAAGGCTTTCACCAACCAACATCATTTCTGCGATTCCAGCGAGGAATAATTTTGTTTTTATTTTTTGTATTTTGTTTGTGCTTCGAAGTTTCTTTAGAGGTTGGATTGGTTTTATGGTGTAGGGTTGCTAGGCCTACGCCCAACCTTCCCTCTTTACCCGGGCTTAGGATCGGCTAGTAACTAGTGAACTAGTTAACCAGGCAAGGTTCCAAGCATCAATTAAGGTGTACAAACGTTGTGTACATTCTGTGTTATGTCTTTGTATGGTAGTAATTTTCGAGTATCTTTGAAGCTCACATAAATGTTCACCAATTAGGCTCCTTCAGTTTGACTGGAAAGGTAGTTTTATCATGATATAAAGAAAAGGAACTGGTTATTTCAGTAGTGACTACAATCCCTTTGGAGTCACTCTAATTTTCTGAACCATATTATTTTTTCAGTCACCTTTATTACTAACCTTTCTGTGGTGAATCTTTCATCTACTCACCACGTTTCATAAATTGAACACGATGAATCCTACAAATTAATCCTCCTAACGTTGTATCATGAAAAGCACATACTTTAGTGCTCGTTGTGTTTTTATTTTCTCCTTCTCAATAATTAATTTAGTGATGTTACAGAATGATAGCCAAATTATATGAACACAAAGATGACTTTGAACAACCAATGACACAGAAAGAGAATATAAAAGTCATGTATGTGAATAAGTTTGGTCAGAAACTTGTTCCAGCTTTCAGTTGAATTGTCCATGCAGAAGTCAAACCGACTGCTTGCCATAATTATGGATTATTTCGTCCTAGGAGCCTCGATGAGAAAAACAGATCCAAGGTTAAGTAACAAATTATCATCATTCTGCCGTGCCAGAATCAATTGTAATTACCTAATCATTCAGAAAAACATAAGAATTTGTTGAAACTTTCAAAAATATGCACGAAGTCATGCACGTTAGTAAACTTTGCTGTCAATTCTGGACATCAGATACACTGGCTGGCTACGTATTCAGTAAGGTAAATACTTCTAACTAACAAACCTCAAAAGGACTTTTAGCTCTAATCAATCATAGAGTGCCAACTTCTTAAAAGCAGAAGAACTAGTTAGACAGTGGTTCATTGTCTTCACTCATTGTCTGATGCGAAAAAAGTTAGACTCCAGAGTACTGCAGGAAGCTGCACTATGCTTAAATGTGGTATGGTTCAATCGACTTTTATGCACAGTAAAAAAATAATTGAGCCAGAAGTTTTGTTAAATAATTTTGAAGAACACGATTTCCTGTAATCCATTTTAGCAGAAAATAGAAATACACGAGTTTCTCAGCAACATTTTTCACTTTGCCTCTTTTTCTCCCTCCTCCGTCTTCTTCAAACAAAGGAATGAATGAAATGAAACTAATGTGAAGCGTAACTTGTCCATTTTGTACATTTATTTCCTGTTTCCTTATCGATCCACTTCGACTTTTTAGAATGAAAGGTTAATCATTATCTGCGTTAAAACTATCAGGCAACCTCTGATGAACTGTTTCGTGTAATATACTGACTAATAAAATTACTGAGGTGTCACTAAAAATCGGAACATTTAGAAATTAGAAACAATGAGAAGGAGAGTTAGTCATGTTTACTGACACTCAGAACTTTATTATTAGAGAAATATGTATGTGCCGCCGAAAGAATATCCTTTTCAGCAGTTACTATGTTGTAGTACCGGCCAGGTACATGAGATTGTTACCAAGGAAAGAATTTTGAAAGGAAAATTTGAGAAGTGGTGTCAAAATAACAGCCACTTAATTTTTTTTACTACTTCTGCCGTTTGACGGCGAACCTAAAAATGCAACACTTTAAGTATTATATACCTTTGTAGTTCGTAACTAGTCAACCTTATTTCTGCGTCTTGTTAATAATAATTGGCACTGACTGATTGCATCTACGAGTTCGAATTCGATTTCCGGTTAAGTAACTCACTTTTAACTGTAGGGTCATTATGTGTCAAACTACACACTTGACTGCTATTATTAGTACCATACGTAAGCCTCAAGACATGCACACCAAGCAAAAGTGGTGAATAGCATTAGGATTCTACTGAGGATTCGACAAAAAATTACCCTCATCAACAATTCACTTCATTTAAATGAATTGTTTTATAAAGGGGGTTACTGGAGAGGTGTGTATATTTCAAAAACAACACTGTGCTATCAAAAAGGTCCATTTTTATCTCGAAAAGTCGGTCATATTTTAGACAATATCAAAATCACATCCTACTTTCAATCGACTTCATTCTAGAGTCGTTCAAAATAGTAGTTTATGTGAACAATCAGTCAACCAATGTAGTCAAAATGTTTAACCATATTTTATTGTCAATTTTATGATTGACATATTAGGTCGATTTTTTAAGCCACACTTTGTTATGCTGTATTCTGCTCATTTAAAATTCTCTTTTCTTTCTACCTGATTTCCTAGAAGATTATTTAGTCAACTTAAACCAGACAAACCACCTAGTCTTGCTAAGTGAAGATTCTAACAAGAGTGAGTTTTATCTAAACACATTAAGTGATAGTGTAAGAATGTTTGAAATGAGTTTCTCACCTCATGAATGCGGACTTTCACTTCATCCGTAGTCTGAGTTAACTAATTTAGTTAATTAATAAGTTGAATAAATCTTGGCATATTCGTGACTGACGAATTCTCTATACGGGTAAAAAATGACTCCAATTAGCTTTTGCTACCTTCAGTCTCCTTCAACTTTCTCGTCACATCTTATAGCTTATTGAGAACAGAAGTCCAGCATAATTTAGCTCTGTTCTGCCTAATAGCTGTGAAATATGTCAATTTAAAATAGATTCTCGAAAGGCCACAAATGCTGGACCACTGTAGCTGTGTGTTGCAAAATCATCACATGAGAAATACACAGTCCCTTTTGAGAAATATGGATCAGTTGGCTTGGATTCAACCCATTTTCAAATTCGGTTGGTGCAACATGCACAAAATGAGCCAAGCAAATAATGTTCCCATCGTTATATCTTGACTGAAGCCCAGTCAGGTTAGAAAACGTCTAAGGACAGGCAGAATAAAACATGGTAACAGCCTACAAGTTACCCAAATGTATGTCGAAACTCTTTAGAAATGTGTAGAAATTAAAATAATAATCCTAAACAGAGGGTTTGATACTCTTAGTTTTATGATCTAGAATTACCGGTAGTCAAAACTTATCTTCTACTCAAAGGTTAAACCATAGTTTATACTTTACTCTAATATTTCTTTTTCAATCTCATGGCTCTCTGTGACTTTTGGTGACAGTCGTCACTTGTTTCTCTTACCTCCTCCTAGTGTATCTTGGTTGCTGATGTAAGTGGAGGCAACTAGGATTGTTTTATAGTAATATCAGACTCTAATTTGCTACTGACTGGTAGACTTCTGCTCAAACACTTTAATCAGATAAGGAAAAAACCTTTAAAAACAACATTTCCACAATTGATTTTTTTCACACTGAAGGTTTGAAATACCAAGTATTTGCATTCTGAGATTCATGAGATACCAAAAATTGATTACTAGAACCAATTTTGGAAACTATTCTTAGTGATTTTCAGTCTGTCTGGCTTTCTGTTTTCATCTGATTAACCATTAGTCTCACTTTTCAGGCTGTCATTTTCCGTCCTATTCTATGAAATTGCTGAATTGTTCTGAACTTTCTTTTGCTATACTGACAGGATGTATGTGAACTATTCTGAATTTTACTCTTATGTGACTGGACACATTTGTAAAGCTGATTACCAAAGATAACCTGGCTACTGCGATAAGTTTGAGAGTTTGAATCGTAACCAACAATCCAAAATGAACAATAATTTGAGCATAACTGTGAAAAAACAAATGCCTTCTGTCTGCGTATTTTAAAGAAACACTATAAATCTTGGTGCTGTCTGTATAAACACCTTCATATCCACTTAAGTTTAATGGCGACAGTCATGAGAGCAGCAATTTTACCCGATCATGTTATGTCGTTGCATGAAATGAAAGAACTTACTATGAACATTGCGTGTTAGATGTTAGGAGCCAATAAATAAGAAGTCCTGCACAGAAATGCAGTGCACCACAGTTTTGCATCTCTCAACTCAGTTGCCGAATCAAAAATTTGATCGATAAACTCCAATTGGCGCTTAGATATTGAAGACTAGAGAGCTATATGAGTTACCTGACAACGAGTGGGCTAAATACTTGATACATTCTTGCAATGGGCCAGCCATGGCTTGAATAATTTAGTACATTTATCTCTGACTAAAGTCGCTGCTGATTCAGGTTCAAATTACAGATGGACTATATGTATCTATGTGCAGTCTTCTGCTATAGTTTATAAATTCATCAAATCTTGTCTCCCTTACGTTTTAGTACTCATCCTAAATGCTGGAAATTTCCTCTCATGTTGTGGCTTGCTTTGCCGATCAACGAACCTTGAGTTACTATTAGAAACAAAAATACAGAGCCCAACGAGTTCTTTAAAGTTTATAGACTGTCCACGACTAATCTGGTGACATTAATGTACTAAGCTTCTATAACTAATGATATGGGGTTCATTTACTTCTGTATCCAACGTAGTTCTTTCCTAAGTATATTTTTTTTAAAGTGATCTATTTAGCCTTTGAAACTAAAATACTTTTATTACCCATTGTTATAGCAGGCATAGTGGTTAGTGACTAACAAATTGCTTCAATAATATCTCCAGTAAAATAAATTTTTAAACATTGAACAACTTTTTTTAACGGACTGAAGCGTTTACTTTTTCAGATTTACAGCAAGCAGACGCTACACTAAGTAGTCAATGCTCCACTTGTGTTATGGTTAGTTCACTTATGAACCAAAGTAATTCAACTGTAGAAACTAATGACATAACAAACTTAACATCGACTGGAAGTAATGTTCACATTGTTAAGCCCCAACTAACTGAAGCAAGAACTCCAACTCATATTCATGCTGATGAAGAAATTAGTCATCAAAAAAATTCAGTTTTTCACGTATCCAGCACATTACAAAGCATAAATCATCTAACAAATGTTCACTCCAGTATTAGACAAACTGCTAATGATAATCCACTGACGAAATCATTTATGACACCTGCTGGTATTCCAAGTGATACAAACGCTCCTATTGCCAGAGTTAAACCATTTGTTAAGGATTGGATTCAGAAGCACAGTACTTTGCCCACGAATACCAGTGTACATGGTGACTTGACAAAGGTAAGTAAATTCTTTTATTTTCTCTTTATCAATACATGTAATTATCTTATCTGAGAGGTTTAGAAGAATATTTCCAACATCAAAGCAAAATGTTTTCGTAGACGTCTATTTCATAACTACTATGTTCAACATTTTAGAATTATTATGAGAAGGCTATTCTCTTACTTTTTATCTTAGGAAAGCATTTTCTATCGTACAAATTGGCAGTAGGATTCGCTGTATCGATCACTGACTGTTAACGGCAGAAAACTTATAAGCCTAGAGCACTCTGCCGAAATTGTATTTGGCTAAGTAGTTATAAATTCATTGTTCAAAAGGTTTTTGTTTTAGCATTCTCATATTTTTTTTAATCTGTGATTTTCTAAGTCTGTTTTTATGGTCAACTAAATTATCAACGTGCTTTCCGTTTTCGTTTCAATTTATCAGATAAATGAACATCGTCACCAAATCGAGACGACCAATAATCAGTCGGAAAGACCAGACAGAAGTGATTTATGCAATGTGACAAGTGCAACACTTAGTATGGCTCTCGGAGAAATTGGAAATGAGACCCAGGCTATCAGACATCATATGTAAGTTATTTCACTGAAGTGTATGTGTGCTTAACAGAGTCACTGATAAAAATATTCCATTTTTTCAGTCTCTCTTCTTTTAAAATACCTTTGGGCTATGAATACAAATTGCATATATACACTAACACCTTGATCAATCTGAGATAAATTATGCGGAAGAAAATAAAAGGCCTGATAGGGGAAGATAAAGTGAAGTATTTTAGTAGTCAACTGTGAACGACATCTGAGCATCCGAAGAATGAAAAATCTAAGTATCCCAACTACGCTACAATAACATAACAAAAATAAATGTGTAAATGAGGATATGCTCTCATCAAGCTGCTCAGAGTCACTGATTGAAAGACTAATTTTTGAAACATTCAATTACAGTAAAGGAGTCAAATAATCAAAGCCAATTCCGGTTATCATGTTTCTTTGAGACTTTCAGTAATTCAGTTCAGGATTCATAAGCCCCGCTGAATGAAGATAAAGCCAGAAATACATAGTTTACATTCTAATCCATACTGAATTACAGGTTTTTGCACTGAATGACTAAGTTATTCAAAAAAGGACCCGTTTCAGCAAATGTATTCTCAAGCTGCACATTCGTATATACATATATATGATATTTGAAGACGGTAATCTGTGAGGAAAATTTAACTTAAATAATGGGGGCGTTAAAATAACATTAATGGTGGTTATAATGTCACAATGGGAAGTATGAATGGACTTAGTTGTTTACGAAATCGTGGGAAGTTTGATAAATTTAGATAGCTAGCATCAACCACTATATTCATGACACCTGATTCAAATTCTATACAACCAAAGTTTTCAGAGGAATGTATGCGTAAAGGGTGATAATGGGTTTCAGTTTTAAGCAGAATGTTCTTTCAGGATAATTTTTAAAAACAAAGATTTACTACCTGGGTTTTAGAATTAAGAACCTTTCAATAGTGGTTATTATTTTCAAGCTAACGGGTTCCTATCAAATTTTTCCCACATTAGTGGTCAACTAGTATTTCATTATTATGACGCAGTCTTCAACAGTGACTGAAATCATTACTTACAGTTAAGCAAAAAAAACCACTTATCAGTTTTGTGTTCTGAATAAAGTTGTTATTAGGTTATAGTTGTTATACAACGCTAGACAAATTTTTTCTAATCCTGTAGTTCCAAACCATATCAGTCACTATCACAGTTAAACGGAAAGCCCCGATGAACCAAATATACTTAATCCGAATCTGTTAATGAACTATGAACTATTTACTATGCACACGTACACCATGTATAATTTACTCTTGATACTGAATTCCAGCCTTACAATGATCAAACTATAAACAAAGAGAAAGAATAATAGTAATTTAGTGTTCTTCGAGCTTTGATATTTTTTCGTGGACATTTCATCACCAGACTCGGTGATTAATCAAAGCTTAGAGAACACCAAACAACCATCATCTTCATTCTGAGCTATAAATCTTTTCCATGACTTTAGAAGAGCAAGAAGCGTATCAATATCTTGATCATATAATCATCTGACCTGCTGGTTGTGTTTGGATATCGTTTCTGTCAAGATAAAAGAAATATTTGTAATGGTATTTTTGTGCTGAGCAATGTATCTGTTGTCCAGGAATTTATTCTTAAGACTTAAGTCTCCACATAACTAGAATGCTGACTTCAAAACATGCATGGATTCAGAAATGCAAGATTAGCATGAAACTAGTTCCACTTAATCCGGAGATCCTGGTGTACTTATACATCCGCATTTTACTAAGGGTTTCTGGTTGCAACTAAAAAACAGATACGGAGTGGCCCAAAAGGCTTGTATGGGTTTATTGGTTACAAGTTGTTAGTTATCACCAACTTACATTAGTTGGAGAAGCATTGAAAACATAAAAGCACTCGACGGCAGTTTCATCCTAGTTTGGGACTGCAGCTAGTGCACATAAATCATCCTCCTAAAGAATGAGCTCAGGACCCTAAGGTTCAGCATCGAGCGCGCTAATAGCTCAATTTTAGCCAGTCTTCACAAATCTCTCAATCAAATAACTGACCAGAGACCATTAGAGATGAAATTTCAGGAAGTTCTAGTGAGAAGTCGTGACCGGCGAGAAAAACTAAGTCAGAAGTGAGGACAAGTAATCAAAGATGACATTGAATAGAAGTTATACTTTGTGACATATTGACAGAAGTAGAAAAATGAACTCCTACTCTACAGCTCGATGACGAAATGCTTGTCACGATACCTGATGATTCTAGGTTCGACCTCCGGCTAGATCAGTGGTACGTCTTGTTAAGGAATTCGATGTTGGGACAAAAGAGCTGTCGGGTGCTCCTCGGTTTTCAGTAGTCCTCCAACTGGTTTCAGTGCGTGATGAATACCAACTAGACAGAACGATAACTGGAATACCAAGAGGTTTTTGTTTAAGGTGCAGAATCAGTAGAACTTATCGGATCCTTATAATATGGTTTACTGTTAAGGAGATGACTAATCTCTGTCTTCTTAGTACTTGTAAAACATTCAGTGGTTTGGCTGAATTAGGTTTTATTTGCTGACACATTTTCATTTTTATTTCATCCGATCATATTTTACAGGTTTCATGGTAAAACAGAAGTAATGAAACATGAAGATGATTCATGCACCAATATATGCAACTCCAAATCTCTCAGTTATCAGTGTGACAGCAATGCACCATTTGTCGCACCTTCCTCTAAACAGCTGTCCATCAATTCACTTCAAACTTCGTCCAATTTTGCCAGGATAGCTGCTTGGGTCAAGTCAGTTTCTGTTGAAACTTGTAACATTCAAGAAGATGGTTTAAACAAATCAAGTGAAGCTGGAATACTGCTAAGGCGACATGATTTCTGTCACAATATTTGTACAAAAGATAATATGAGCCAAAATCAGCAATGCTACTGTCAGAAACAATTTGAAAAAGATGATAATTTTCTTGGAGATAAGCGTTTTCATCAACATATGACCCGTCCTGGTGTACGCACTTATGAAAATGTTATCATACAAACCCCACAGTGTGTAAGAAATAATAAGCTACGTCGAGGTAGATCTGTTCCACCAAATTCTAATCAGCAAAATGTTACTTCTGAAGTTCATGACATTCCGAATGGATATCAGAAAGAAGAAGCAGGCACTATTTCAGAAAGAACAGTTGCACCACTTCCAACTTCAGTCTCTTCTGGTCCCCTATACGTGAAGGAAGAAATAGCCATCACCAGTAGAAAAAGTGATAGGGAAACGCCTCCATCAAGACGTCCAGATGGATCCTCCAACCCACACTTACATAAGGAAACACATATTACTTCCGAACTACACGAAGCTGTTAAATCAGATAATAAAGTTCAGTATACTCGTGATATATTCAGCGAAAAGCCGTTGCCTCAACCAACTGGATTTTGGGCTTCAGCAAAAAAATCTCATCTTCGAATGAATACGAAAGCCTATCCTGCAGATGCTCCTGCTTTATCACCAGTAACATCTCCTTTAAAAAGAACATGCTTTTCCCCAGAGGCAAAGAAAAAATCAAACAAGTCTCATCATGATACGGAACCACATTTGTTGGTTTGTACATCGCCAAAATCCTCCAAATGTCATAGGTCGCACAGCTTCTGTTCCTCAACAGAAAGTGAGCAGTCAATATGCAGAAATGATCAGCTTACAGATAGCAGAAAAGTGCAGAAACCTTTGAACTCAACTGATTATCTACAAAATGATGAAAGTAATGGTACAAAATCAAATATATTACAAAGTGTAATTGGTAAAAAGCCTCTTAAAGAAATTCGTACTAAGGTAAGCATTCAATCTCTTATGCTCATAAAAATAAAATTTCACTCATCTCCTGAATTTCAATGTGGAGACAGTTTTTTCATCGTAAGCTGGCATCAGTTGAAGAACGACTGAAAAGCTGAGGGCATTAAATACTGTCTTCATCCTAGTTTGAGTCTAGTCAGCACTGAGTACCTACAACCCTGTGAGGAATTGACCTAAAGACCATCAAGTCATATGGTGAATGCATTACCGCTCAGTCACCGGCTTTAAATCTGGTGGTACGATAATTCTTCTGTCAGTTTGCAGAACAACAAGAACTTCATACAATGTCATCAGTGACTGACCACCTAGGCCATGCTTTCTACTTAAAGCTTCACGGAATCCATCTACGAGGATTACATGTGACAAAGCTGAGCAGCAATTCACTCCATAATTCCTGAAGGTTAATTTAACTTAAAACAATTCTCATCTTCAACTTGTATCGCTAATTAACAGGAGTGGTAATCAGCATACCACTGAATTCCAATACAGTGACTGAATAGCAACCCCACATTTTGGCCGACAGTCAACTATGTTTGTTGAGGTTTTGCAGATCCTGTAGTGGTTGTTGAATATGCAGTTTTTGATAGCTTTCTAATTTATACTCTATCTTTGAACTTTGAAATCAGTCAGATTCATAGTCAGCAATGTATAAGACATGATTTTATAGGTGCCATCTCAGTGATATTTCTGCTGTAAATGCTTATGATGTTAACTAAACTTTACATTTCTCAAACGTTTTTATTTACAGTCGGCACTCAGATATGTTGGCTATTCAGTTTCGATAGGCCTTAGAACTTGACTTCCTGGTTGTTGAATCTATATAATCCTGACTAAACTCTAAGCTTCAGTTTTCACAAAGAGAGCTTTGCATGTCAATTTCTGAGTCATTTCTTGAAGAGGTTAAGTCGATTTATCAGTCATGAATCTATGCAGGAATTTAGTGTTCCTAGCTGAGAGAGATCTTGATAGAGAATCGCTCAGCAGATGTTAGTTGGTTAAAAGCGATCAGCAGGAAACCCTGGATTTAGGTTTCGTGCTTGTTGGCACTCGTCAGCAGGACGCATCTGCAATCTCAACAGAACTGATGTCACACCTGGGATTCCAACTCGCGTCACCCAGTGTCGTAGTCAGAGACTTTACCACTGAGCTATTCAGGCCGCAACCCACTTCCTGTAGGACCGGGTTACATATATTGATTGGCGACAGGAAAACAACCAATTTTATATCGTCTAGTCCTGATTGCAGACCAAATCCTGACCAGTGCCAACAAGCATGAAACCTATAGGTTCAGGGCTTCCTGATGATTGCCTCTAATCAACTAACATCTACTTATGTGCACTGCGATGCTTAGCCTCCCAGCTTTGTGGCCACATTATAAATATGATCGATACGATTCGGTCTACACTCAGGACGAGACAACATGAAATTGGTTGCTCTCCCGTGACCAATCAATATAGAATTACTCAGCCTTCGCTTTCCTAGCTGAAAAAATGATATTATTCTTTGTAGACGATAAGTCCTTACATGGTTAATCCTATCTGGTCTCCTGTACTTATTTTGAGAAAAGTACTGACATATAGTTTGCATTCATTGGTAGTTTCTGGAACGGTAGAAATGTTACTACAGTGTTGCTACCTAATAAGATTATACAGTGCCACAAATCCTCACCATTTTACAGCGAATGTTGTATATTTTGACCGACTGTTAGATGAAAGGATTCAATTAATAAACTACCTACTGACTTGGATATAGATGATATATGGATCTGCACATTTGTTACTCGTGTGCTTATTGGAGTATCAAGAATAAAGTCAAATGGTCAGCAACCCCATAGAATGAAAATATTGTCAGGCACACCACGTGAAACGACAAATGTTATTCACTATACTCTGTATTAGCACTTAATAACGTCCCATTTCGACGTTGTATATTCCTGTACTATTCTATCTAAATCCTTCATAGTTTGACTCTTAGGTCCTTATGAAAAACTATAGTCACTTAGTTCACTACAAACAACCAACAGTTAGTGTAGACCCTGGAAGACTGTCACAGGTAAATGATATCGGGAGACTTAGATTTCATGCGGACCAGCGTCTTTTAAATATTACACTGTTACAGTTGTTGAGTGTTAGATACTTACACGCTTCAGTTTACCAATGCTAAGAGTTTCTATTCATGTGGAAAATAATTTCCAAACTTCTGTTTTTACAGACAGGTAAGGGACGCTTGAGTTTCCTGACAAGCCCACTTTTTGGAAAACGTAAAGAAAAAGAACCAAAACAATCCGAGATAATAGGAAGCACTAACGAAAAAGCCAAGACATCTCAAATTTCACAAACTGTTCAAGATCCACAACATCTTAGTCACTCATCAGCGAAAAGTGGTGATTCACGCCGTAGAACACAAGGTAAAGATTCCGGTATATGTCATCAGAAAAAGCATCTTGCCTCTCAGTTTGATACAGTAGAGTCTCAAACTCGTGTAGGATGTATTCGCAGAGATAAATCAGCTTCTAAGCACATATCACTAGAGAAGCAACAGAGTGAAGATAAAAATACATTTCCCCTAAATGCACATGTTAGCAATATTCCAGTTTCCTTCAAGCCAGCAACAACCGTCAAGAATTCTTCAATGCAATCAAGTAGCGGTCACGGTAGTGAATGCAGCAGTAGTTTGCTGACTGAGAAGAGTAATGCTTGGCATTCGAAAGCAGAGCCTAACACTTCATTACGTTGTAGGTGCAAAAGGCATCACCATCATCATACACACCAGCATCACCACCATTCAGGAAGTGGACAAAAGTGTCATCGTTGCATTCAGTCCTCACACAACTGTTGGCAGGACCACCGTAATGACAGAAAGTGTGATAGTATTAGTGAGACTAGAAGGTCCGCTGATGGCAAACGAAGTTCGGAAAGTGGAGCTTCGGTTACTGGACATATAAAAGGTACCAGCAAAGAAACAGTTGAATTTGACAAACGCTGTGCTGATGGAAAAATTCTGGTTGATTCGTTTGAAGTTAGAAAATTGTCAGTTGGTATTTCATGTTCACATATCTCTAGTTCTGGTCCTCGCCGTGGTGGTGGTCATGCAAGTAGTGGCTATGAGAGTATTGTTCGTGATAGTGAAGCTTCTTCCCATGCTGATTCAACTAGTGGAAGTTCTGCAGGCGGCACAGGTGTTGTTCCTGCAGATATTAAAGAAGATAAAATTCCTCCCCCCCAAAAACAGTGCAGTACACAAGGATATTGTGAACACTGTCACAGGATTAATCACACAAATTCACTAGTGAATGATAGAATAGTGGAATCAAAGCAAGTAATAAATAATCCTAATGTCAGAAGTTATTCTAGCCATGAACAAGAAGATAATGAACAATCTCCACAGAACAATATTCAAATGGTTCAATCAAATCTTCAAACTGTACAGAAACTAAATACTTCTAAAATTGATCCAAATGTAAATAATCATGAACCTCCATGTCAAACCTTTCAACAAGCTCCGTTGAAATCTCCGACAAAATATCCTATACAACAATACTCAACGAATTCAAAATCAAGTGCAACATCAAAAACAGTTACTTCTCAGTGTAAGTTATTTTATCTTCAGTTCTCATAAACTGGATTAACTTTTGTCCCTGTTTTACTTATCACACAAGTATTTTCCATCACTTCGAACTTCCTCCTCATTGAAATTCCTAACATTCCTTCATATACAGAGAAAAACTCCTCTCATGAGTCTATCAGTTAACTAACTATCAACCTCTGATACGTCTTGACAGATAACTCAACTTTATACACTCAATATTCAATCCGCTGACTAGTAAATCTTAACATTACAAACCACATTTCCGCTTTAAGTATCAGAAGTCAATCTCACGAAAACTCTGGGCCTGGATTTTGTGTTTGTTGGGACTTGTTGGAAAAAAGTACCTATACCTGTGGGGAAATCAATATTCAGAAAAGTAGCCCACTGAGACAGTCAGAAAATCAAGTAACCCAGCGAAGAAAAAGTCTTGTATGACGAATCAGTTGTTAATAGCTGTATGTACATATTTTTAGTCATAAAAAGAAAACAAATAAGCTTATTATTGGCTAATAGATCAACATTAGGTCATCAAAACTGAATATTCTCGGAGGAACTAGTGAGCTCTTCCTAGAGTTAGGAAGAAATTGTACAATCACGAGGTGAATTAGGAGAATATGGGAACGATCACTGTGATGACTAATAGGTTTACAAATCATAATAATAGTAATCATTATTGTTAATTAGAATAACATACTAGGAGAATTTTACTGCGGAATTTACACTAACATGTAAAGGCGTTGTGGAAGTAAACCATGAACTAAAAACAATAGAGGTAATCAGTCAATAAAAGTAAAATGAATATTGAAGCAATGAAAAAAAGCAAGGAAAGATCATGTTCATAGCGAAATACGAGAAAAAATAAATCTGCTCTGTACACGGAGCTTGGGCTTGAATTTTCGTTCCCCGTCACCTCTGCTGTGAATGTTAGGGTCCTCAAGACGAAAGGAATCAATGGTTGAGGATTCTTGATGACAGCTAAAAACCGGTTACAGTGACACAAGCTGTGAAAAAAATCTCCTCAAGCGACTCTCTCTTGGTAAGCTTGGTTGTGGTTGCCATTTTCTGCACACGCGTTTTGATTGGCTATCTTGTTGACCTGAACTTCGTCCTTCTTGTTCCTTTTCGTGTCTCTTAATTGGACTGCTGACTGCTAAATGACCTGAGTTTCTAGGCTTTAAGAATTCCCTGGCATTCTTCATACTTCTTCTATTCGTGAATCCCATATTTTCCCGATCAAATGCATATCTTCATTTGTTGAGATGTATTGATATGAACAAAGTTATATTGTGGTGTTTCGTTCGATAATAGGTGTTCGTGTAGACGAATTAGAAGAAATTCGACACTATTTGTCAGTCTTTCCCACAGTTGCAGCAGTTGGTTTTGCGGATAATATTAGAATTGTCTAACTTTGGTTTTGTCTTTAGGTCAGCACAAAATAATGGAAAGGGCCCTCTTAAGGTCTGTAGGCCACAGCTTTTTCCGAAGGCATCAGTAATCCTGTCGCAACCTTCGAGACGTTCTTCGTGTTTGGTAATAAAACCCATCTACTGTTTCTGTGGATTACATTTTCAGTTTTCTGAGACTTTAACAAACATTTTTTGATAAAACTGTGGATAGTTATTCTTCAAAGAAACAGCCATCAAGCTTTTCCCTTCATTTCATAAGGATGATAAACTTTAATGTGTTTTGTTCTTCTGGAACAATTCTTCCACAACGCAAATTTGGGTATTATGGAATTGGTGCTACAGCACTTAAGGATCTGATCGATTTGCGTTGTTCCTTACTCTTTAATCTCCACTTTTTATGAATCGGATCTGGTAATCAGAGCAACTAGAACGAAGAGTTTGTCATTTTCTTCCTCTTCAGTCGTGAATTTAATGTTTTCGAAAACACTGTTCATTGACTTGTAAGCACTTTCCAAACCATACCCTTCAATGACATCAAACGGAACAATGAGATATTGAACCTACAATTTTGCTTAAATAATGGTGAGATCACCGCTTCTAATCTTTCTACTACCGAATCTGCAATATGTCACTTGTGTTTATTTCGTTTGCCTGTACACTTCGCCGCTGAACTGCAGATAACACCAAACTTAAATATCGTAGTTTTGTGTGTTCCAAGAGATATGCATCACTGTCAAGAGGAGTCGTTGTCTCCTTAGCCAGTTCCAATTCATTTGAAGTGTTTCAAACTGTTGTATCAAAGGAAACCATCAGTTTATCGTTGTCTATGTGAATAGTTTATATCTTCGCCAAAAACTGTGCTGGAGACTTGAGAGGATGCTTGCATGATTCTACTGGGCGCTTCGTGGTTCTAAAGAGTTATTCCAACAGATTTTATGTTGGTGTCCATAAATAGAACAGATCCACTGGTCTTTTTTATTGTTTGTCCTTCTTTGAGAGATTCATTTGAAATCTTTATGAACTGACCATTAAATGTTTAAGAACAAATGATTAATAAATACTTAAGTCCATAAAGAGACCCCCCGTCGTTTTTATATAACCATCTTTCTACATGACCACTGTGTTATCTTTTTTTAACAGCCAGAACTAAAACATGTTCCTTTTGTCTTTCAGTCTCTTCAGAGTTCTCTGTTCCGTATCAACACAGTTGTTGAGGTATTATCCAAGCCTATCAAAAGAGCTCATAAGTCACATTTAGATTACCCTTTCAGGAAACCAACTTAGATTTGTCATATTAAAATCACTGGTGAACTCCGTTTAAATGCTACAATAAGATGTCTGTTCCCAAATGCGTACTTGACTGTGTTCCAAACAAAGCGAATTTATGCAGGTTTTAGGATGTTCAAGTGATATCACGAACCTGTCATGTAAATTGTTTGAAATCTTCTGCTATATATGGTGTTAACGATTACTAACTTACGTGCAGAAACTGCAGAACACTTGTAAACACTTAAGGCGCAAGACCTCATCCTGGAAGTTGAATTTTTTGTCCAACTTATTTTCTTCTTCCAGAATATAACATTTCCAGTTAATCTTATGCAGACCACTATTTTTAGCATATCGTAAACAAGTAAACAGTGTCTGGGGGTTCACTCACTTGAAAATTCACTACCAGTATAAAATGTGACTTTCATAAATGATAATTCCGAAGCACAACTGAGTAACTGCTTTAAGTCAAAACTGATGTCGCGAAGCATCAGCATTCAGTGTTTGTGTAAACAGTCAGCATGGATGATTGCTTTTTTCAAAGAGCTAAATAAACTACTCTCCATACAACAAAAGTCTCAACGTGCTAAGTCATCAAATAAAGTGAGTTATTTCCCTGAGAGTTGTTAGCTTACTTGGGATATACTAAGGCACATGTAGTCAGTTCTTGAAATATGTCACCTCTGTGTGTTCTATCAATATTCTGCATTCTCTGTATATACAAACTAGATGTGGAAAAAAGATGGTGTAATGTTTTTTTTGATGGTTGATTTGGTAGTTGGTGTGAAGCTGATTTTTCAAGTGAATTATAATCACGTATAACCATTGGATGGTCATATACTTTGCTTATTGTCTAAATGTTAATGTCAATTACTTACTGAGTGGTTATCATCTTCAATTTTCGAACTACCAACAAGCATTATTTATAAGAAGGGCTACTTCATTTCAGGAAAGTGAATTTTCCGTCTGCTTCATATACTGAGTTCTGTCTCTCCTCATGAGGCGTAAATATTTGGGCTAATCAACCTTCAAATATTCGCAGATCAAGGCATATTTTCTTACCAGATTAGCCAAAAGCTCAATTTATTGTTGCAACATGCTGTATGTAGATGTAAAACCTGATAGACATAACGAGTTTATCAACTAATCCGTATCCGTAAATTTGCGAAACACTACGGCTACGTGTAGAAGCGTGACAGTCAGTAAGGTAAATTTGTTGTTCGAAAATATACATCACAACTAAGAAAATGAATTTTAATTAGGCAGTATTAATTTAATAATTTACTGTGTGGCCAACAATTAAGCCATGACTTCATCATTAGACTAACTGAAAAGAACGGTATGACACAAGTTACTCATAATCTCTACTACCCCAGTGAACCACTCAGTAAAACTTTAGTAGCTTGCATTCTAACAATCCTACATTGTAAATACCTTAATGCATATGCACATAAACTCTTTTCCAGCCTAAATACAGAACAAGCAAATGAATGTGAAGTACACAACAAACTTTCAAGCATTATGTTTTGACTGCAGTAAATTCTACTCATTTTATTTTAAGTACATTGGTTATGCTTATCATTCTAAAGCATTTTTTTAACTGTTTTTTTCTCCTCTTAGCCCTTTCTTCATCGTCTTCTACCTCACACAGAAGTCGATCAGCCCCACCATGTTCAGAAGATACATCTGAAGAAACAACCAGCAGTCCAGTCAGTGTAAGATACGTTTCAAATAACCAAAATGAGAATATTTCATCTCAGCTGTCGACGAATATGAAAAATTCTATCCCAGAAAATTCTTCGAGTGTATCCTGTGTTCTTCCACTGTATTCTGAAGAAGTCCAGGTAGGTCTTCTGAAGTAGATATGTTTCTTACAAAATGAATGGGGGTTTAATAAATTCACTCAATAATAATATACAAACTTAAGTAATACTAGATCAGATAATTAGTTTAAAATTTCTTTAACTTATGTGACTAAGTTATGACTGCCTCTGGAAACCATCTAATATTGCAACCCTGACGTCAGAAGACGAAACAATAATCGAGGTTTCTATTCGAATCATCTTTAGATGATGGAGAATATTCATAGCTCAGGAGGGTGGTTTGGTTGGTGAATTGGGTGATTTAATAGTAATCAAACTATAGCGTTCAGAGAACGTACCACCAAAATTAAAAATCCTTCAATACGAAAATACCCGTCACAAGAAATGCAACTGAGTTGCCTTAAAAAGGATAAATAATATATCAAATGTAGCCTAAGTTCTGTGATTAACCAGTTAGTGTATTCCCTAACTTTTAGACTCTGTTACTGACTATCGTATCGATGACTTTTGCGAAACGTTATTTATTTTGTGTAGCTGTAATACTTTAGGTCTTCCTCAAATATAATATTTTCGTTTGGTTATTCAATAAACCTCACCCACCAACAACATGTCTAACCTCTCTTATTTAATCAGTTTACAAGTCTTTTGTACGAAAGTGAGACAGAAAATTTTCCGTGTTGGTAATAACAGATTTATCAGTTAGCAGTTTAAACATGTTGGTCACATGAAAGAGATTCTTGCTGTTTAATACCATGCATCTGACCGTAGCTTCTTCAAGATCACAGGATTATACATTGTTCGCCTCCCTTCTCCCATCTCTCTTCATCTTTGCCTTGTGGCTTTTTGAAAATGCTAATGCTTTTATTTGCATTTAATCATTCTCCTCCCTGTTCACTTGCATCACATTATGCTTATATGAAGTGGGACACCATAAACGAATACAAAATTATGCTGTTTGCCCACCTTATATTTCTTTTTCGTAAAATGTATTTCTATTCATATTCTTTTTAAGCACTTGATTACTGTCTGCTTGTTCTTCCTCATCGAGAACATATTTATCTTCTCAAAATGAGATTAAGAAAATAAGGTTGTAAGTTATTCAGTACGATGAATGATAACGACCAGATGAATTGTTTTCTTTAACTCATACTCTGAAGGTTTTTCAGTTACATGTGATAGTGGCGGGCCAGTTATCCAATAAAATACTGTACAGCCTATACCCAAAGTATCTATTGATAATAGAAGGAACACTGTTCGGAGTTAAGTATCTATAAGGAAGATCAAATTACGAAAAAAATAAGTTATCATGAAAACGCTGTACTAGTAAGGGTAAATGTAATCATATGATACGATGAAATTACTACAAATTTCAATAGATAATACTTATTATAAAGTTAGTACTATGACTTGATGATTTTATTTTAATAAAATAAAAACGTGGTGATTGCTTTACTTCTTATAAGCCTATAAGCTGTCAAAGACTTGAGAATTGAAGACTTTGCTGACAACCACCAGAGAAACATTTCCCAAATACAGTATAATTCTGCAAGATGTCAGGTCAGGTATACGATGAATTCCTTGTTTGCAGTACTGTGTGAGACTGATTGCAGCCTTAGAGGAAGTATTCATTTCCAGATTATTTGTAAGCCTTAGAGATGAATATTGATAATCACTGATTATAATGTGCAAACAAAACCAGTTCATGCGTCTTGAAAATCACTCTCTATCTAAGAAAGTGATTATCACAGTTCTAGATATTTAACTTGAAACCTGATTACCACCGCATTAATCCTGTTGATCTAGATGAATGGTCTTAAATAATCTTTATATATTATGGGATAGAATTAGTCTGATAATAAGCAAACAAATAAGAATGAAAGAAATCGCTTTTCAGTAATCCTAAATTAATTAAATTGAATCCAATGAGCAGTTTAGTTGGTGTCTGACATATCCAATCCCCTAATATCTCCCAGTGTTAAGTGATAATCACTGGCGGATTTATGAAGGCGTTAATGTTTTTTGAAACAGAATTTCACGATTATATCTTACCAACATAGATCATCACAAACATATCTAGATGATAGAACAAAACTCACGAGAACTACTTAGCATGATAAAATATTGCTATTGCACAATATTCGTAACTTCATCTTCAAATGGAAATCTTTTATAGAATGGCTGTGTACATAAAAAAGGAGTCACTGCTTTACCCTAAAAAAATCCATTAAAATGCTAGTCAAATTCGTTTCATTAAATTGTCTAAAGCTACTCCTTTCTACACCAATCCCGCCTTTTAGCCAATTTAAATACGGTTTGCTTCACTTAAAGTCGAATCATGTGAAAGTGAAACAAAGTTAAAGGAAATACCGTCGGTGTATTTGGAGTTATCGTTCACTCCTTGGAACCTAATATGTTTTTATCTATACATAAATATAAATTACTTAAAATGTTCTTCTAACCTTTAGTTAGTGACTGTCCTTTTCTCAAACACATTGAATGGTCAACAAATAGAATGAGTAGCTATAAGTAAAAGTGAGCTGTTCTGTGTATCAACTCTAGTCAATTAGTGTCTTTGACAAGAATCAGCAATGCAACATTTCATTTTTTAACTAAGTTTAAAGTCCACCACAGTAGTGAGCTATTAGCTTGGTAGCTTCATTACAATGTGATCAACTGAACTCGATCAGCACTCAAGACTAATCATTGCCTCAGTTGCTGCCCAAATACCTCAGTGGTGATGTCACTGACGGCATCTCTGAATGATCTGGATTTGAGTCCCAAGAAGGATAGCAGTTGTCTTGAGGTTGGAGATATACTTTACTGATGAGTGCCGACACGCACAAAACCTAGATGGTAGGCTTCTTACTGATTGCCCCAGAATAACTGCTAATCGTTGACTCGACACTCACTTCGTGTAGGGAAAGTGTTGAAAGTACTTCCTTGTGCTTGCATTTAGAAGTAGTGGGAATAATATAATGCTAACTGACACTTAAGAGTTTACCACTTAAAAATCGACTAAAAAATCCCTCTGTTTAATCTTATAGCGCATTGTGTAGAAGTAAATCTCTATAGAGAACAGCAGGTGGTCAGTAAAACAGACGGGACTTTTATTTGTATCAATCTAAATGTGCTTCAAACAAAAAAATCCTATGCTTTTACTGAAGTTCTAGTTCGAGGCTGCTCATGCGAAAAAATCAAAATGAAACTAATAGGATTAATTATCACACTTTTTGAGGCAAGAATTTTTTGCATAATATGCTAGTATAACTACAGTTTCCTTTGAATTTGAATTCCACATTCTGGGTATTTCATTAAATTCTGTCAATAGGATTACTTTGGCTTCTGATCACAAGGTTAAGTGTTAATCCTTACCTCCTTTTTTGAATAGCATTATGTATAGGTGAATAAATTTCCCTATTGGATTTTAATGAGTTCAACTGTAGTTTAATTTAACACCTTACATTGATTCATCCAGTATATCTATATACAGTGACGCAAACTACCCATTATGACATTTTTTACACAAATATTCACTGTCTTCCGCATACCTTCTCCGTTGAATCTCACTATCGGTTGAATAGTGGAAAAATATGTATGCATAACATTTCACCTCATTTCTCTTCAAATCACTGGGAAATTGTTCTTTGTCTTATTTTCCCTTTTCTTAACTATCACATGCTGCTTTCTCTCTTTCTTTGCTTTTCTTTATTCATGAGGATTTAACAAAGTGAAGGCAATAGTGACAGTGAAAAGGGAATGTATGAATTGAATACAAGACAATAAAAAAAATTTCATACAATGTCACTTCATTTTAATGATGATCCTTTTTAAAAATAATTAAAAATGATTTTGATTTAATTTGTTTCTCATTAATTTCTTCCAGTCGTATAGCCCATATTGATGTGTTGTTGTTGTTTTCTTTACTGTACTGTTTACTAATGCCACTTAGGAAATGGAACGTCAAATACGCTATGAAAAGACCTATGATCTACTTGCACAACAAGATATGCTGAAAATGGAATTGATGACAGCTAAAGATCGTCTTCTCATTGATCCTTCTACTTGGAGTTTCGATTGTGAGTTATAATTATCAAATAATAATTAAGTAATCTAAGTGATGTTTTGAATTAATTTCTGTCAGTATTCAAATCGGCTATCGTAAGTTACCAGCTCAGCTGTAGGATACGTGTCAGTTTCACTGAGGTCTTTGCTGGTTGTCAAGTGAACGTCTGACATGTGACTCTCCTCATTCTAACCACCAAACAAGGTTTTTTTATTATTCTTAAAAATAAACTTGAATTTGAGAAAGATAGCAGTTGACCATTTATTTAACCTCTGCGACAGACTCAGGCTATACCATCGGTCTTGAGTAATATTGTGAACAAAAGCCTGGTTCAGTTGACCAATCTGAGAACACCACAGATGTACCCAACACTTATGGGAACTCCAGAGTGATAAAGAAGTTAGAATGTGTGCTTCTAGTGCTATGCATATACGTGACTCAAAAATCTAAATAGTTGCGAATATACACTGTAACCAAATATCGGACAATATCAGAGCTATAAATAACCAAAACTGACATAAATCAATCCATGGTGAAAAATGTGCCCAAATTAATTAATCCTCATAAACTGCCAACTGAATTACTGCTTAGCATTGATTATAGTCTTGCTTTGAAATGAATTCGTAGAAATTCTAATGAGAATCCATGAACTCTGAGGTTAAACAAGTCGTGACTTAGGTGGATGCCACTGGTACTATGAGTCAGTGATGACATTATATTTGTATTTTACAAGAACTGACGAACCATTAGACCCTAACTCAGTAAATTAGTGGTAATGCATTGATTATAATGACTGTTGATCTTACAATGGATAACTCGCTTAATGTTGTTGTGCACTTCTCCCTGAATGTCAGTATCTTAACACTCTGGTGTATACTGAAGAATTAAACATGAAATTACTTACTACTTATAAACGTTTAGCATGATAATAATGTGCTTACAAAAAGATGAAATGGCTCATGAGACAGGGTTTTATAAATGACCTATGAGCTGAAGATAACATCAAAGATTATGGTGCGAATGAAACAACTGCTTGTAAGTTTTAACGCCTCAATATTCTTTTTTTGCTAAGCGCTTGCTTTAGACCTACGTATTAGGCTACAAATCAAATCTTAGGTGTGAGATTTTAGATTTTAGTTCATTAAGAGCTTAAATCTAACTTCATTGTTTTCTGGAAATCATATGTGAGGCGTATCTACAAGCATAAAGAAGCGGAATTTCCTTCTGGCTTTCTAACCCTGCAGAATTATGTTGAAAGCTTTGTCACTAAAGTACTGCGGTTATGAACAACCTAGTGCACATCATAACTGAGCTAACAAACTGGCCATTAAATATTACAGCTGATGTACATTTTCGATTCTACACGTCCAGCGATGAAAAAACCTATTGCTCACACTTACAGCACGATTTGCTTGCATATTGGGGTTATATCTTTGAGTCAACATTCGACTACGACAGTACATCACTAGCAAACATAAAAAACCCACTATAACTCCTCAGTATATACACATACAATTTTCACTAGTCTCCACCTTTGGTATGATTTGCTTATCGTGAAGGCACCTAAATGTTTGTTACTGTAAAAGATGCTATTTGGACAGACCCTCTGCAAATGCCGTTATCCTAAATTCATAAAACTTTCGCTTAAAAACTTGAAAAGTTATTCAGTTTATGATTCAGCGATTGGTGAATCACACCCAACCTCCATTTTTTATCTCCATTTGAAGCAATTTATTGACCGAATTCCTTATGATCATGATTAACTTTGCTGATGGTTGTTACTGAAACACCTATATACTTAAAGCCTATGTGTAACGTATTCATTTCAAAGTTTAAGCCTAACCTATAGTCAAGCGGAGTATGTGCAACCTGATTAACTTTTACTGACATAACTCAGTAATTCCATTTAGTTTTCCTCATCTCTGTTCGAAATGTAATTTTTCTTATAAAAAATGAACAAATGTAGTGCATGATCTCAGTCGTTGTGATGTTGGCTTTCAGTTTTTCTCGTGTTACGTGACATGTTTTGGCTATCCACTTATATTGTAATTTACTGAAATTAGAATTCATCAAAACACCCCTATGATATATTTTAGTTTTCAAGCTACACGAAATTCGATAAGATAAACTAACTAATAATTCTATGCTTTTTCAGTACATGATCCATATGTACAGGAGGAAACAAGTATTCACGGTTCTTACCTACCTCATAGTTTTTATACACTTATTCAAATGTACACTAAAATGCACTTAGACTGAATTGTGTTTATTGATGAACAAGAGGCGAAGGAAAATACTTGACTTTGTCGTAATTATACGGTTTTATTCTCTAGCTGTATACAATCTTGCAATTCCCTTGAGCGAAATTATTATATTACATAAAGCTTTTTTATGTGCTATAAAAAGAAAGTATGATTGTGTCGCGTTTTAAAAGTAGACTCCTGAAAATCAACTAAAACGTTTAACAAACGAGGATGAACTACTGAATACAAATGCTTATGTCTAACTTAACTACGAAAAAAGATTTGCTTTTATGGTTGTTGTTTATATGAATACTAAACATAGGAGAAATAAATACCTTAGGAAACTTTACACACTTTCATACCCATGGTTTTATGAAAGGGGAACTGAACACGGCTGTTCTTCTCGATAAAGAAACAAACAATAGATGAAACAAAGCAATGCAATGCCATACGCTGATAACACTGAGTTACACTACTTGGCCGCCTACCTTTAGATTAATAATATTAATGGTTCGACACCTTATGGTAAATAGTTGCTAGCGTAAAATCAATAGAATGTTAAGTTTGTATAACAGTGTATGGTGTTCAAAGCACACAGTAATCATTTCCAAATACTGAAACTTGTATTATAAGAAAAACGTACTATTTAGTGGCACCTTGTGATATCATCTAAAGGCGGTCTGCTTGAACCTTGGGCTACCAAATTTATCCATCGAACATTTTCCATCAGATTCTTTCCTTTCGAGTTGTTTTAATCATTTAAATATGTCCTTTAAAGGTATCATGTACTCTTGTACACTTTTAAACTGTTTCCAACTCTCCATTTCTCCAGTCAATATTAAAGCAGTGAAAAAATGTTGTGTTATAAATAAATGAACTTTTTGGTGCAAAAAAGTACACCATATTTCTATCCATCAGATACTTTGATTGAGTTGTAGCTTTTTATAGCGTCTGAATGAACCGCCACCACCAAAATTATGCTTACATCTCTGTTGATTGTTCATTATGGACCGAATGCTTACCCAGAACTAGCTGGCTTTTTCACATTATTGCCTTAAATACTGCTGTTATTAACATCATCCTGATGCAGTAACTATTTCATCTGAAAGTGTTGGTCTGAGAGTGAATTTGTTGAAAAATTACTTGCCGAGAATTTCATACTGTCATACACATTGTCTGGAATAGAGCGATTATTATTATTATCATAACAACAACAGACATAGCCTTCAGAATACTGAAGAATATTTATGGCTCGTTTCCCATTTCATCGTTACAGAGAATAGTATATTTTGAAAGGTGAGGAGTAGTGAGCTTAAAGTTCGAACAAAAAACATTTTGAGGTGTTCCTAAAGTCAGTTAGTTTATCTATATTTGAGAGATACATTCTGCTGTAGTGTTGGAGGAATCGAAAAGGTCATCAATGATGAGGAAAGGTTACCAGTCAACCAAATATACTTTAAGCAATAAGGCGACTGGTAAGTAATCCCCAGTTATCACTTTTAATCGTCTATAGTATGTTCTACAGTTTTCGAATTAACCCTTGGTTATGTAGTTGAGAATAGGCCGACTAATACTCACAAAGTATTGCTTAAATATTCACCTTTCTCAGTCTACATATACTGCAAGTAAGCCTTTCAAATCATACACTATTTACTTAAAAATATTTTCCTTTATTTTTATTTTTCATTCTCACAGTATACGTTGCTGAACAAATGGATCCTGATGATCCCAGTTTCTTAGAGGCATTGGAAAAAGAAACTGAGATCTTGCGTAAACGTGTTGATGCCTGCAAATCGCATATAATGCTCATTACATGCTTTGATTCCCAGTTAAAATCTGGGCAAATAACCAACACAATAAACAATTCCCGATCTATTCAGGTTATGAATGCAAGTTATACGAATACAGAGATGAATCTAACGAGTATATAGTAAATCAAAAGGTAATATTCTGGCTATCAAATAAAAAAAATTGTAAACTAATATGCAAAGTGATATGTCAAGATTAAACTTTATTCTTGAACAAACTTGACTGCTGTAAAACAAGGTATTATTTAGCATGTTGTACAGTGATTCTGGCGAAGATATCTTGTTACAATAACCTGAATAATGTTTCTACTGATATTATTTGTTTCATTGCCATTTGTTGTATTACAGCTTGTTAATACTGAACACTAGACTAAACTACAAAACATTTTGATTTTGATTTCGACAACAGAGAGAAAAACGAGATTTACAAAAGATGAATACAGAAATATCGTTTCCTTTCATGTACAATATAATCTATTCAAAAACAAGATATATAATCTTTGAATAAAAGTATCTGTTACAAAATTCAAGGTTTGTTTTTTATTTGTATCAAGTGACAAGCATCTTCGTCAACTTCCTATCTTTTTTCGATTGATTGTTTAAAAAAAGACAGTCAAAATAAATGATTCAATAATTCATTATTCCAATTTATGTAAGTATTTGTGCAACAATTGTTTCGTTATGATTGACATAAATAGAGGTATTCATTCTTAACTCAATCATTTTGTAAGTATGACTGTATCTCTAGTTGATTTGCATGACTTTTAATAATGTTTCGTGTGAAAATAAATAATTTCTCTTCATTAAATGGTCTTATTGTTTTCATATATTGGTGTAAACACATTTTCGTTGAAGACTGCCTGACTTTACGTCTTAGTTACTAGATCATATTTCCTTCCTAGTATTACCCCTTTATGGAACAAAGGTTACTAGAAAGCTTATATATATATATATATATATATATATATATATGACCGTTACTGACTTTTCGCAAAATATATGAACGAACGGTAAAATAAGTTTCTATTCAAAATGTAGCTTAGTTGATGGCTAGAAGTGGAATCTAGGAAGCACTTGCCGCTCTACTTAGTACTCGCCAGTTGGGTTTACTTGTCTTTCAGCTTGACGTGGGGTTCTCATAACACAAAAGGCAGTTTTTGAGCCTCAGTAGCCTAAGAAATAACACCTGAGCAATAGAAGAGATGAGCAGCGGGCTAAAGTTGTATTGGGAACAAAATCGCTTACTAGAGTGCAAACACGTCCAGCTGACGAGTCCTTAATAGTAACAAACGCGCGTCAAGGACTCCCTTACTAGCCTCTAATTAAACTAAAGCATAATGAATGTTCAAGCAGTAACAAAGCGTCCACATAGGAGACCGTCTGCCAACAGGGGTCGAGTGATTTGATCCGGCATAGAAAAGGGAAATTACAAGTATCAATGAATTCAATTTGAATTTTTCCACTCAGTTATATATCTTAAGGGTAAAAAGTTATGTGAACTCATAAAATAGACCTATTCAGAAAGATGAACGAAGATTTAAATATTTAATGCTGCTAACCTCTATTTTTCCCAGCTATATTACTGAATTGTGAGTATAACTAGCAGACCACTTCAAATATTCGTGTACATATCACCGATTAGTTTGGGAATAATATTTTAGTTGACGCAGTCAGGTCACTCTTCATTGTTGAGAAAAAGGTGAAATGATGACATGCATTATCATCATTGACCTAATAGAAACAATTGTGAAGAAATCGAACTAAACTGAATAATAAGCAGACTGTTATTATGAAGAATTCCCCAATTATATGAAGTTGTTATCATACTAACTACCGGTCTTATTCTTACCTTGCTCATTATTTCCAATACTCATGACATTATCACACGAAAGGCATATTCAAGGACAAGGGAGAATTACTAATCTTTTTCATAAACCTGTGAATAAGATATCAAGGCTCTATTCATCTTTTACACCATGAGAAGTTATGTTCACCATGAAAGAATGGATCTCTTAGCACTATTTCATAATGCTTCAACAGTGGAAACTGGAACGTTAGTTATTTTGATCAAGCTTGTCGCTTGGACTATTTAAACTCCCGTATACCAGCATCCTCAGCAGTACTCACAATTATTCTACAGTATTATCAGAGCTAAATAGTCATTCAGTGAATAACTTGTTCGTAATAATTAGTCCTTGTACATTTGGTGATAACCAATTTCTTAGTGTATTACTTCCATCCGCTGACTTACAACCATAATAACCATGGTAAATGACAGCAACTTAAACAACTGCTCGAAAAATAGTTACCATAACTTACTAGTTAACCAAGTGACTGTTCAGCGTTTTGTTGAGAGCACACGTATGCAATAAAACTGATACAGATAAAGAACTCAAAACAGAACCCAATATATCAGCAATAGTACTTCATCAAGACATCTTATCGACGCAAAAGGAAGACCATTAATGTAATTACAATCCTGCTATCATCATATAACCACTCTGAAAAATTACTACTTTTGCCGCTACTTGAAATTAAAGATATATCTATGTTGTTGACCAACTCAAACCACATTGTTTCTGTGAATTGCATTATAACCGCAGTCCGTTTTACCAGTGTATTGCATTGATCAATAGGTTATATCCAGCACTTAGAAACAGATTACATAATATCCATTAATCTCCAGCGACCGTTTACCCTTCCTTTTTGCTCTCATTATTCATGCCATCAGTGACATTAGTAAGTCACATACCGTCATCAGAATACCTCAGTTTTCGAAATAAATTAAAATGATTTTTCACTTGTGGGCATCAGCTAATTCAGTTATTTTCACCCTTAAGCTGTGAGTTTCACAAAAATGTTTTCTTATTACAATAAAATTCAACTAACCTTTTAAAGTCTGATAGTCAACTAAACGATGATAGTAGCTTATTTTAAATGAAAATAGATATTTTCTGGTATATTTACGCAGGCACAGAGAAGAATGCACCTGTTTATTCAGTGACATACATACACACCGATATCCAACACTCTTCGGTGATAAATGGCAAATAATAATAGGAAGTTTTGGTGGGGAATCAGTTTGGATAAAAAACCATCTATCTAGCTACACCACGAAAATGTTTTGAGCTGTTATAAGTCCATTTGAAAGTCCATACATTCTGCTGAAGAAGCTGTAGTTTACACGACAAACGATCAGGAAAGCCTTGTTTTTCTTTATAGTCACTCCAGGATAACGTCATAGTATATTCTTATGGCCAATAAAGCGGACCTAGTGTAAAATGTTTTCCTACAACGTTCATAGACAATACGGTTTAGATATTTCTGGCTATAAATTTTGGCGAATACTTGTAGCTCAGAGTGGGCTGTCCTCTGAGCTAGGGATTTAGTTGGTACACATCTCACCGTCGTACTAGACATCACCCATGGTGCATCAAGTGTTCCTTGTGAAGCTTCACAAGAAGAGACACTGGAAAAATTCATCTAGACGAAATCGGACTTGAATTATTTCCTGTTTGATTGATAGCGAATGTGTAGAGAAAAAATGGATCGAACAATCAGATCAATAATGCTTCAAGTAAATTTGCCTCATCAATGATTAAAGGGTTGTGAATGAAAGTAACAAATTCGCAGCTGGAGTATTACAGGAGAATGAGACGCTTGTCTAATACTTGTAACCTGGAGTTGCTACACTGGGTGGAATCGCTTCACCTAGGCAGACGAGTTGGCAGTACTACACCACTGCTGGCCACCAAGAAAACCGGAACAAAGTGCGTGATCTGGCAGTATCGAAACGTCCACATAGGAGCCCATCTCCCAACATAGATCGAGCAATTCGACTCTGTATGAAAGTGTATGGTTGCAAATAACGCCAAATACCTGTCCCACAAGGGATGACCCTCATGCCTCAATGGCCTAAGTGATAACGCTTTGGTGCTTGAGGCGATAAGTGCAAAGCTCGATTCTCGGTGCGAAAAATATCACTTATCGGGTGCAGATGTATCCAGCTGGTGAGTTTCAAATGAGACGAAACGTGCGTCCTTAATTCCACTGCTAGGCACTAGGTAGATTACGATAGAATAATATAGCAGGTATCGATGGTATGTGTAAGAATACGAATTGCTGAACTGGATGAGAATTTTTTCTTTGATTTCGTACTCATAGAAAAGCACAAATGTTAAAATAATGGATAACACCAAAGCTATACCCAAACGTTTTTATGCCATCAAATTCCAGGTTAGTTTGGCTGTCTATAAATAACAGATTGATATTTTTGAAAATTCTACTCAAGCATCCGTTGAAGTAGATGAATACATTTCATCTCACTGGTGTTTCATCAGCAGCGTACAGATTTAACAAATCAATATATAGTCTGAGATTTATGTTCATGTTTTGAAATACACATGAAGTTAAAATAATAAAGTAAGTCGAACTCGGTACTCTCATGAGGTAGGGAAAGTAATGTCCTCAGTTAATGCTGGTAAAATTAGGTATGGATAGAGATAGTTATATAATCATGTGGTGTAAAGAAAATGATAACAAGGTAGAAAGACAAAAATTTTTGGCATTATGTATTTTCATTGATCTTATCAGGCTCTAACTTTAAAAAACACTTCAGAAAAACATTTCTGGTGGTTACATGGCCTAATAGAATGATAATAATAATAATAAACAGATTTCCCAATGTCACGCCTGATTTATAGGTTCATTCATCTTAGTTTGAGGTTAATGCTATTCCATTGTCAACGTCATAGGATGACATTATTTGAAGAATCATCGAGAGCATAGAGGCAATGGAAGGCATTACACATCCACGACCCCGTCGGGGATTGAACTCAGTAACTTATTGCCTCTTGGAGAAAGCGTTAACCATTCAACCACTTTGTCGGAGTTCAACGCTTCAGAACTTCCTGCTTCTGTCAGCTAACTGTGTAACGTGACTACTCACCCTAATGTCCTGTGTTAGATCGCTGGCGGGGTCATGGATGCGTACTGTTGTGACTTCTTCTTTTGTCTTTGTGGTTTCAGCTATTGAAAATCCTACTTCACTCTTATCTGTTTGCATACTGGAGGTGGGATACTATGAAGTATTCGGAAGTCTCTAAGAAGACTGAATTAATTTT